GGCTGTGTCAGCTTAATAGACGTCGCGGCCGCAGCATATCCCCACTAACTGGCTAGTTCGGACACGAACCATTAGCACGGACGCAAACCATGTGCGGTTACCGAGCGAAACGACGTAGTTGAGGCGCACTTTCTCAGGCGGCGCGTCGGAAAATCGGGCACACAAAAATTGACGGAAAACGCCGAGATGGCCTCTCTCAGGTTTCTCTCTGCTGTCGACAATCCAGTGACGAAGAAACGATATTACCACCATATGGTAATATCGCTTTTTCATGCCCCTGATGATGTATGGTGAAAAAGCGATATTACCATATAGTGGTAATATCGTTTCTTTGTCACTGGATTGTCGACAGTCGATAAAATAGTGGTAATATCGTTTCTTCGTCGACAGTTGATAAATTCCCGAGTAGAAATTTATTCAGGCGTGCCTGTTGTCATGTACGGCCCTGATCAGATATGAATGAGGCATGCCTGACTACGGCATGCCAGATCAGGTCCTGACTGGTGCCATATCAAGCGGTAGTCAGACAGAACGTCCAAAAAAAAATTTCCCACGACAGAACATCCCACGACATTATGTCCAAAAAAATAATATCCCCGTGACAAAATTTCCTGCGACAGGACGTCCACGCGAAACCAGGAGCCACATGGGTTCATAACTTTCCACGCGTGGAAAGCCTACGCATGTACTTTGAAGGCATACTATGTGTGTAGTTTAACCATAGTGGAGCCCCCCGCAGGGAGGCGGAACCTACCACCTCCATGCATACGCTATCCACGCAAACCGAGGTTCACGCACACTCCCCTCGTGCTTTTGGGGGAGGTGCGGTAGTCCCGAAATAGTTCACGCATACACTTTCCACGCGAACCGAGGTTCACGCACTAAATACTTTTAGTCATTTTGAGCAAAAACGCTTTAATTGAGCCTTATTTCATCGAAATCGGAGAGGAGTGAGCTTTCCTTCAGATTTACTAAAATAAAAAAAAAAATAGGTAGGGTGCATATTTTTCGGGCTCCCCCGATTGATTATCACTGTCGGAGTCACAACAAAGGTTTTTACCAAGAAAACCGCAAGAAAATATCAAAATTCGGAAAAGGCCCTATTCTGAAGAATTACCTTCATGTGCCGATTGTGTCGTAAGTGTTTTGTCGTGGGAAGTTTTGTCACGGGGATATTATTTTTTTGGACATATTGTCGCGGGATGTTCTGTCGTGGGATATTTTTTTTTGAACGTTCTGTCATGGATCCATATCAAGCATGCCTGGGTTATATATAACCAGGCAAGCCTGATAAGGCAATAGTCAGGACCTTATTGAGTATCCCTTAATACACAAATTTTTAAAGGTCATATCAAAATTAATTAATAATTATAATTAATCTGATATTATTAATATAATATCTATAATAAAACATTGAAGGTCTTTTTTATTTGACTAATATTATTATTGTAGGAAGTACAATTCGTCTTCTTTCATCATATAATATTAATATAATATTATATCATATAGCCAATTCAAAATTTTATTACTCTTTTTAAATTAAATTTGTTTCTTAAGATGATTTTTGAAAAATTATATATTTGCGCTGGTTATGACATATGTAGACTATATATAACACTTACATTAAATTAAGAAGTAGTCTACCACGTAAGGCAGTTGGCTCACGATCCAGAGGTCCCGAGTTCGAATCCCACCAAGGTATAGGTGTTTTTTTTCAAATACAGAAAATATTTATAATCATAGACTGCATCTAAGAAACAAATTTAGTTAAAAAATAGTAATAAAATTTCAAAATAAACAAATTTTTTTATGTCGGGTGAATATAAGGGTTTTCATTAATTCGCCTGACATGGTCCTTATTAGGTAAATAAAATCCGGTCCTGAACATGCAATGCGTTACACATCTTGTCAGGACCATGTCAGGTGACTTTACCAGGGCCAGATTATGTATTATGGCACACCTGATCTGGACTTGTTCAGACAGTAACTGAAATTTCTACTCGGGTTAGAGAACATCCTTACATGGTTATCTGGGTGTATTTTGACACTTTATCTTCCATATAATTTTTTTTTTCCTATTTTATCAATTATCGACAATCCAGTGACAAAGAAACGATATTTCAAAGTATATAATATTTCGAAATTTCTAAAGTGCCGCGAGTTTTCCGATTGTAAATCTATATAATTAAACGTATCTCCAACCTCGTGACGACGTTGCTGATGCTGCTGCTGCTGCTGCTCCTGCTGCTGATGATGATGACGATGATGCCGATGTTTGTCATCCTCGGCGGCGGTCGCGACAGTGGCACTATCGTTTGTCATATTTTAAATACAAGAAACAATTGTTCCATCGGTCGATCCGATATTTGCATCCCATAGGTAGAAAAATCGTGACTAAACTGTATGGGCTATAGTTGGACATGCTTAAATTAAAACGAAAGAAAACGTTGATGACCTAATCAGATTCGAGATGAACTCTATACAAATCAAAACATTTAATCATAACAATTAAAAAAAAAACTAAGTTCTAAAAGCCGGCTTCCTTACTTTATTTGAGGCTCAAGTTAGGAGTCTACCTTGACCCAAGTTCGGAAAGCAATAATTAACGTTACGAAAGATTTCTCTATTATTAAATTCTTTTTTTTATTGGAACACTCTAGCGACGGGAAAAGAGAAACTGCCCACGGATACAGCAACGTTAAACAGCATGCAACGCGGGCTTCCAGGTATCCGGGTGATATACCCTCAAAATGCGGTAAGTGGTCGCATCACTGAACTAAAACTGTACAAGAATGCAATAAAAGCATTCATTTTTTGAAATACATGTCACTTGAGTTAAGTTAGGTAATATAATTTTGTAAAGAAGAAATTAAAGATTTTACATCTTTTTTTTTTTAATACATGTCACTTGAGTTAAGTTAGATAATATAATTTTGTGAAAAAGATATAAAGCTACAACTTAGGTTAGTTTTTGAATTTATAAAATACATTCCCATACAGCACAGATTGTTGCAGAAAGCTTCCAGAAAGGTTTCTTGTTGCAGAAAGCTTCCAGAAAGGTTTCAAACCTTTCTGGAAGCTTTCTGCAACAATCTGTGCTGTATGGGTTGCGTGTACTTGGCACTTTTTTTACCTTTTTTGAAAAAGGTAATTTTGTACTGATTATAACGAAAGATTTTATTGAGTCAATAAATAATGTAATTGAATCATGCATACGATTTTATCATTATTAATGCATGTAATCGTTAATTTGATTAATGATTTCATTACTTTATGATCACGTTTATTGATAATATGAAGTAATTGACTACTTCATTGTATTAATGAATTATTTCATAGATTTATTAAAAAGCTTTACTGAGTCAATGAATAATGTAACTGAGTAATACATTAGATTTCATTAGTTTATGACCACGTGTTTTGATATTGTGTAATAATATGATTGATTTATTCATTAATGAATTTTTTCATAGATTAATTAAAAAACTTTGTTGAGACAATGACTTTTTTTATAAGTTATTGAAATTATTATTCATTGAATTAATGAATAATATAATTGAGTAATACATTTAATATTATTAGTATTAATGTATATATTTATTAATTTGGTGAATAACTTAGGGCAATAGTCCTTTAAACTGAAATTTATCTAAACTCACTCTTCATCTTTTTCTAAAAGGGATATTTCTTTTAGAAAAAAATAAAGAGTGAGTTTAGCTAAACTTCAGTTTAAATGACTATTGAAAAACTGGCCCTAAGTTATTCACCAAATTAATAAGTATATACATTAATACTAATAATAATAAATGTATTACTTAATTATATTATTCGTCTCTTTCTAACTATAGTTACAAAGAGACGAAAAGTGAGTTAAGCTAAGATTAGAGTTAAAAGCGACTATTGAAAAACTGGCCCTTAATCACATAACAATTACATTTTTTGACTTTTATTAATTACATTGCAATTATGTTTATTGATTATTATTACATTACAATACATTTATTGATATTATAAAGTAACATATTTGAGTACGGCATTGTGGCAATAAATAATTTTATTATAAATTTATTAAAATACTTTATTAAAATGCAAAAAACAACTGTTAAATCTGTTAATTTATTATTAATTCATTAACAGATTTATCACTTTTACAAAATTTTTTAACTATGTTTTACAATATTCATTAATGCAATGACATACTAAAATATACTATTTTATAGTAATAAACGTAGTTATAAAGAATATAAAGTAATTAAATCAGATATCGAGTTATTAAATACATACATTATTATTAATACTAATATTAAATATATATAATACTGTAATAAATGTATAACATTAAATGTATTTCTGCTTATACTAATAGTAGGTACTAATCCATCTGTGACTAATTTAAACTGATAATTTATTCTTAAAAATACGATTATAAAACCGTTTGAAATTAAATAAAAAGTTAATCAAAAATGAAAAAAAAAACAGCCCTAAAACTGATCTTCGGATAATAGAACAAATACAAAATAAGAATTTTATTAAATATCTATATTATTTTGTATAGATATGTGTGTATTATATTACATGAGAAAGTAAAATAATACGATTAATATTTTTATGTAGCTTTAAGATTTTCTATTAATACGTGAACTTTGAAAAAGGAATTATTAAATTTAATTTCAAAAAAATTCAATTCAATAAAGTTCCAAAACATTGAACTTTCAATCAGAAAACTTAAATTAAATACATAAAAAATTTTAAATAATATATTAACTGCCCTAAAAAAAGCTGTTAAACGAATAACATCGTCGAAATACACGTAAATATCTGTTATTCTTGAAATGTCTTCGCTAACATAATAAAGGGTTGAATGCACTGTTTTTGATTTTTGAGATACATAAGATGATCCTCTATTTCTTGATGAGATTTGCCAAAGTAAACAAAAGATTCCTGAGAATCTCTAATAGTGAATTTTATGATACTTTTTCTGCCAGTCAAATCTTTTTTCACAATTTTGTTGGTTGGAACCAATAAGTAACCGTGGAGGCTCTAAAAAACTATTGCATCACGACTATTTATACAAATAAAGTCAAATAAATAAAAAATGTTTACAAGTGAAAAAATATAAATTTCTAACAAAATAATATAACTTACTTTCAGAAAGTGTCTCCTGTTTTAACATTTGTAGGTATGCTTTTATGGATTTGTCTTTCACATGATTATCTTTGCATAAAAACGATATAAGATTATTTAAGCAAGTCTCTCACTTATTTAACAGACCATTTCTCGTGTAAAATAAGACATTAAAATCCATGTCAATCTGTAAAACATTTTAAGAATTAATTTGTTTGTTAGTTCTAAATTTCCGTTTAATATAAGTACCAATCTAAAGCAAGATGGTTTTTTATAAAAGGGCCACTTTTCAAAAATAGCTGCCGTGTTTGCAACACTGTTTATTTCTTTTAATCGGTGTTGGCCACATGCTTTCCAACAGTTGTCAAATGTTTCTGATGTCAGTTTGTCAAATTTGAGTTGCATTAATGCAACTTTCCGCATCGTTTTCTGGAACTAAAATATTTAACATCATTAACACATAATTAACATCATTAACATATAATTTTTAAATTTGTAAGAATTTACCAAAGATTTTCTCTGATGATCCCGTTGATAGTTTTGAACTTTCTGCTTTTTTTGCCAAAATATGTTTCCCAACTGTTGTTTTAAAAGAAGATTTTAAATTGGCAAGTTTAGTATATAATTTTCCGCGTTTACCTGTTCGATAACATTCCTATAATAAAAGCAAATTTTATAAAGATAAATATCTATACTGATCTTTTTTAATGGTTACTTGACCCTATCTAGTCATCGCTTATGTTTTGAAACATTTTTATTTATTAACATTTAAAATTATTTACACAAAGCAATAAAAAACAATTACATTACAATCGTAAAAAAAATTTTATAAAGTAAAATTATAAAAAGTATCAGTCTCTTAATAAATAATACAGTTTACAAGTTTTTATATATATATAATTTATGATCGTAATACAATTTTTTTTTGTCTTTATGCAAGTAATTTCCAACATTTTTAGTATTTAAAATTTTGTTTTATTTTTAGTTATAAATTATTATAAATAATTTTATTTTATATTTTTTGATTTTATTGTATATCTACTTTAAATACAAAAATTAAATGGAGTAAATAAACTGTCGTTGCTATATAACGTAGAGAGATTAATGTATTATCTTTTTATTTTAAATAAATAAAAATGTTTAAATCAAATGTATAACTGGATGGAGTCAAGTTAATAATTTTGTTACATAAATATTATTATATCTTTGTGTTCTAATAAACTTACTAATTTTTGAGTAGGAAATCTTTCTAATATTTCTTTTTCAAGTCTATAACTATCTGCCATCGACATCTTAATATTATTTTTTTCGAAAAAATTTGCACAAGTATTGATCAATAATGATCTTTGTTCATCATCAAATTTTTCATATTTTTTGTAGTATTCTATCAACATAATGCCCTTTGGGGTTTCATTTAAAATAGTTGATAATGTTATCATAGTAATTTCGTCTGATGGAGTTGACGATCTTCTATAAGGTGAAAAACGAGATGATCTCGATGTCGAAGGCACATCAGATTCAGTTGATAGAGCTGGGGATGATGGTCTGCTTAAATCGGAAAAATTCATATTTGGTATTTCCAGCGGAAGGTTTAAAGAATTTCTCCACTTCTCCAAGTTATTTTCGAATAATATTTGAGTGCCAAGATCGAATGTTTTCAGAAGTTTTTTCGATATAATGCTGCTTTTTTTTGCCCGCGATTTTAATAAGTATTTTTATTACAGCATTCTCCCCTAAAAAAAAAGGATATATTATATTGAACCATAGGTGTACACAAGAAATTTACTTACTTAGAAGATGATCCACTAATTCTTCTTGATTCCAATTTCGAAGTAGCAATCTTAATTCCTCTCTGTCTCTATTATTCACTAATAGTTGAAATGAATCTTGTGGTGCAATTAATTCGTTTGGAGAACTTAAGTTTTTGAATATTAGTTGAAGAGTTTCATTGTGAGGATGTTGCAAATTTTTATCCTGATTTTGATGAATTCGTGAATTTGCTGTCGTAGCTGTCAATTTTGAAGAAAAATTTTCAAAAACTTTAGGCAAATCATACTGATAAATATTTTCATCCAAAGAAGCGATAAGATTTATATTTTCGACGCCTTGAGGTACCGATGAATTATTATTTATATGGGTTTCCATTCCTTCCTGTGTAGTATCTTGACAGCTAGATTTAGGAATAACTTCTTTATCATTCATTATCTGTATTATATAACAATCACAGAGCGACGTTTACCTGCGGGATATAGTTTGACCATCAGTATAATATTGTAATATTACTAAAAATATAAATAAATTATCGAAAATACCGATATAAATGCACCTAAAAAATATAAATAATGACATTGACATTGCTATGACATTAAATCCTGTTTCGCGTCACCACCATACATAATCCGACATTTTGGGGATATCTGACATTTTTAGTACAAAATTTAGAATAAAATTTAGAAAGAATAAATGTTGACAGAAAATACTGCACAATGATTCGTGCGAAACAGAAATTGTACAGAAATCACATAAAACATCATCAATTCATTACTTAATTTACAACTTTTTCTTGTTATATAGAAGTAGGTGTAATATTTTAAGCGATAGATTTATAATATTTTTTTATCCGTATCATTGATTTGCTTTTAGCAGTTTTTATTAAAGTAACTGAAAGTCCGATTATATCATTCGGAGATATTATAGAAAATTGTCCTAAGATCGTTTCATCAATTTTATACACTAAAAAATGTTGCCTATATTGCAATCTTTGCAACTTTTGACAAAAAAATAAAACTTTATTGTTTCGAAATAAAATAATATCTAATATCAAATATATTTCAACATAATTTCCAAAAGTTGTTATATAGTTGTTTGTATTGTTATACTCAACGCCTTTATACTCTATACGAGAATACAATTTGATATCTTCTTCATTAACATTGTATAATTTTTTAATAATAATAGAATAATAATTACTTGATATTTTGTACTTATCATCGAACTTATAAAAGTTTTACTTGTTAGATTTTCAATTTTTATTAATTTACATGCAAATTGTAATCCATATTTTTTACTTAATGTAAGACAAATGTTTTTTCAAAAAGTGATACAATGGGAGGACACTTTAAATTGCCGATGCTTTGCCTCATATTTAAAACACTAGAATTTCCTTAAAGGTCTAGATTGACGAATAATTGTGGGATAATGAGTTAAATTATGAAACTTGGGCTTTAGCGTATCATTAAATAGTTTAATGCAATCACTATTATGATTTTTAATTTTGTTTTCTAATAAAAGAATGTTCACTTCGTCAATTTAAAAGCAAATTTTAATGTTAATGAATAAAATTAATTAGAAAATTCCAGACTTCATCATCAGATGGAACTAAGTCTCCAACCATAAAATGAAAATGCATAATAAATGTCATCATCTCTGCAGCTGACATTCTTAAATGTTTATTTTCTAAATGTGATGTGATTTCACCCGAAATATTTCCAATTTTTTTTGGTCTATATTCAAAATTTTGTTTTTTTGGATTTAAAATTTTTAGATCAAAATATTTCATTTTTATTGTGAAATAAGTAATTGCATAAATTGCATAAATTGTAGTGGCAGACTCCCTAAAAAATATCATGCATGATGTCCACATAATAGTTTTCAACTACATGAAATGATGGAATATTATTTAATAAAGAATTATTTTTAATTCCAGTGCGTTGTGAATTATTTATCTTTAAGTCATCATCGTAATTTGTAATTGTTCGCATCATTTCCTTATTTTCAGTGGTTAGTTTATACAATCCACGTTTTCTACTTTACAAAGTCGACAGAAGGAATTATTCGAAAACAATTGATTAAAATCCAAAAATAAATTTAATCCTAAATTATCCCCAATCACCAAACTCAAGATAAAATAAACGCATAAAATTAAGTTTTCATTGATTTTAATGTCTATACCATTTATTTCTAAATATTTTAATTTATTTATAAGAGACTAAAAACATTTTTCATTCCCATAATTTTTTATATCAGTGGATTTTATAATCGCAGCAAAAAATACATTTTCCAATTTAGATTCTTCCACCGGAAAACACGAAAAAGAATAGTAAACATTACAAATTGAATGAACCTTGGAATAAGATCCAAGAGGATTATTAATTTCAAACTCATCCAAGTACGAGAAATATGGCATCACTATTTTATTAGAATATAATTTAGTTTTTTGTTTCCATAATTCGCCTTGCACAAAATTTGTGAATATTGGACACTTTTGTAAAAAGTCTGTCCTGGAAAAATAGAAGATATGCGCCCGGGGCATCGAGTGTAAACAAAAGGCGCGAGCTAGAGAGTGGGGAGCGCTCGCCCGGCGACAGTAGTAGCACAGAGACCTGAGAGACCACGAAAGCTATCGGTCTTCTCAATAAAGGTTATTCTCTCTCTGCACTGACCCGAGCTGTATTAGTCGTGTATCCTACCCCGAGATCCTGATATTACCGAGAACGTCCACAACAAAGTCAATATTATCTAATGTACGCTTTAAAAGTCCTCCTTTTTCAAATATTTTTCTAAATTGAAATCTCAAGGGCATAAGAGGGCCTTTATTCCTTTTTCACCATATATAAAACTACCGTTTCGATGAATTCCACTACTTGCGTCATCAATTGTAAATTCTTGTACATTTTCAATGTAATTCTCACTTTTTAACCATTTATACAATAAATATTTAGTATTTAAAAATTTGAAGGGATTTCTACAATTTAATATCAGACTATTAAATTCGTTGTGTACAGAACTATTTGCTTAAAGTTTATTATTGACAAATGATTTCATAATATCTAATAATGGATCAATTAAATATTTGTTCGCGTATTCCTGTATTTTAAAAACATCTTTCCTGGGAAAATTATTATTATTGTGGAGAGTAAGTACAAATTCCGTAACAGAATTAACCATGTTTTTAAGCGACTCTTCCATTTGAAACTCAGGAATTGAACTATTCTCTATTTCAATTATTTCTGATGTTCGCGTTTCATTAATATCATCATATGACGTACAAACAGGATAATTAGAAACTAAAGATGTAGTAGAATAACTAGCATTTGCATCAAATTTCGTGTTATTTTGTATATCATTTTGTGTATCATCAAAGTTACAATCTTGACTTTCAAATTTATTACCAATATCTTTATCATTTACATGTTTACGCGTTATATGCTTTTTAAAGCTACTTAAATTTTTAAAAATTTGAAGACAATTGGATTCACAACATCTAAATATTGAATTTGTTTTCAAATTATGACTGCGTTTAAAATGACAAATTAGTAAACATAAAGACTTAAAGTCTTTGTTACAAATATAACATAACATTTTGTTTAAAAATGTATGAAATGTATGAAAGTATCTTATTCGGGCGAACTATTAACAGCAGCTTCTCCCAGTGGAGTAAATTCAGTTGTAATTATCAACCACACAATATTATAATAATTATATAGGTTTACAAGATATAACACATAAATATAACGCCAATTCATACAAAGTATTTAAAGTACCGCCAGATGAACATGTAAGTCATAAAGGTAAAAGTGGCAACGCAAACCAAGAATACAAGTAATAAATGAGAAGGATGTAATGAACGTATCATCACTCAAGCATAATAATAGTAGTGAGACCCCGATAAAATCCGATACGTGACGGTAATACAGTTTAGTAGTGTGAGAAATCTGCAGTCAAAAAGATACGAAAGCAACAGCCGATCTACATAATGCACGCATTAAATGTAACACAAGTAAATTGACATACGATATGTAACGCGAATAATGGAACACAAGTAACTCAATGGGAAACCAAAACGCAAGTCACGGGAATGGGTTAAAGTAATTGCAATGTAATAAATACAATGCGAAGAATATAACGTAAATGAGTCGTCGCAAAGTACACCGCAAAGAATAATTAAACTAAATTAACGCCAGGAGTAAAATACGAGTAAACACACATGAATAAACGCAAGAGATTATCACACAACAGATGTGCCGCAATTAAATAACAGCAACCGACATGTCAAGATTCCACCGTAAATAAGATAGACATGTAGTGTTAATTATAAATAATATATATCTTCAACTCGTAGTTAGATATAATCAAAGACACTTCAATATGAGTTTTATAGGAGCTCAATTCGCTTCACGGTCCCAAAAACGGTCAAAAATTCCCAACCTATATTAACATATATGAATCTAACTAGAATCATATTAAATCATATTAAATTTGGGTAAAATTCAAATTAAACCCAGATTTTATATTAAAATTATATTTGTTTAAATACAGTTTTAATTTGCACTTATTAAAATCAGTTATGTAGATTAAATATGATCCACAATAAAATAGGGCTTTAATTTAAATTTAATTAGATCACTTATGTGGATCATATAACACTTCGAATCAAATATGGTTTTAATTTATATTTAATAAGATAACTTATGTGGATTATATATGATCCAGAACCATACATGATGCAGAATATTTATATACATATATGATCAGATCAGAATATTGCATCTCAAAGTATCCAATAGATGGCATTCGATGTGATCTGTTTCTCGTAATTAAAATTTGACAAAGAGTGTTATAAGAACGGTATTAAAAAAACACGACACTGTCTCGCGCTATTCTCGCGCGACGCTGTCTCGGAGCGACACAATTTTTGTATCAGTTATATCGTGAAGTTCACTCTTATAATAAAATGGCACGCTTAAAAAATATTATAACCCCCTATAATTACAACCATTAAGACCAAATAAGATTGAGTTACAGTCATATATAAATATTATTTGGATCTTATTAGAATTTTATATAATCTGGTTTAAAGTTAAATTTAAATTGATTTAAAAATTTGATTAAATTAATTTTGAATTTATTACCATATTTAATCCACATTTGGCATATTAAAACCATATTAACTCTGCATTTCCTTAGGTCTGTGCGGCTGATTTTGCATATTTCAACAAAGCAAGGTCCAGTTTAATCCATATATAGATTAAATAAGATTGGGGTACTTTAATTTGATTTAAATATGACTTATATTTAAATTATAATTGATTTGCATATTCGGTCCTAATAAGACTCTTATTGAATTCATAAAAACTTTTAATACGGTTTTAATACAATTGTTTTTCGCGGATTGTTTATTTTAATTCATTAAATAGCCACACATAATAGTTATAAAATATAGTTAGCAATAGTATATACTTACTTGTGAATGTTACTTACAATTCCGCTGAAGCTGAATTTCGCAATCTTTCACACAAGAAAATTTAAAAAAACTAATAGTATGCAATACACACACACACACACAAAGCACAACTGCATCCTACAAGTTATAACGCGTATGTGAACTGTGGTCGTGGACGATCGAAGACGCGAAAAACTCATAAAAATCGGTATAAGTTGATGAAGTGGATACGTTACCTCAACAAATATTTTATTCAGCCAATGTCCAGTTTCATATTTAATGAATGAGTTTATTGATTCTACTAAACACATTCATTGGGAGAATTAACTTTTTTATTGATTTAATTAAATGTTACATTGAGCTAAGAAACGTCCAAGTACATTCTATTGAATTCGGAACAAACAGCGATTCGTGATTTAATGAATTCTATCATTGACTAATGAAAAATATTCAATGTACGATTCGTAATGTCAATTAAAATTCACTGTATCAATGAATTTCAAATTAATAAACGTTATTTACTAAGAGGCAAAATGGAATAAAAAATCCTATAATACGAAAATATGAGGCTACAATAGTTTTTGAGTTATAATTAGTGATTAAAATTTGCCAACAATATTGCGCAATAATATTGCGTACAATTCGCGCTCTCAGGCTCGTAACTACACTTATACCGATTTGTCATCTGTTATTAATTTTTACAAGATAAATAATAAATAAATTGATTTTCACAAATATTTCTCCGTGTGATAAAAATAAAAATAAACTTTGTTTCTTAAATGTATCAAAATATAAACTTTATAATTCTATTTGAATGTAATAATTAATCAACCATTTACATTGTTATTTAAGAAAAAATTAAATATTTTACGTACAACATTTATAACGCATTTAATATTAGTTGACCGCCGTATGTAATACCCACACAGGCACATAGAAACAATAAATCAGCTGTGCAATAAAAATCAATATCACCTGATTTGTAAAAATCAATAACAGATATGACAGATCGGTACGCGCGTATATGTATATCTATATAGTTACATCAGATCTGAGCGCGCAAATTCTACGCGATATCATTGACGATCGCTCATAACTCAAAAACTATTGCAGCCTCAAAATTTTTGTATTAGGGTTTTTGACTCTATAATTTTACCTTTAGAATACACTATATTAAAGTATTGTGAGACACTCTGAATATTTTTTCGTTATTTATTGTATTATTTGCCGTTGCGCTGGTAAACTGCGACTATATATATACATACATATATATGTTCATATATGTATATATCTATATATTGAAGTAAATTATGTGATACATTGATCTTATATTCAAATGAATCCGGTAAAGCTAATACGTTAATATAATTATGTGAATTCATTGTATTTACATATGCGTTATTAAAAGTAAAAACTAAGTTTTATAGTTTAATAAAAAAAATTTATTAATATAATGGACAGATCATAAATCCTTCTTCGATATTTCGATACATTGATTCAATGAATTCGGTTATTGAGCCAATGTACAAACTTTATTTTTTATCACTTCTATGAAATTTTATGGCACATTTAATGAATGAGTTTTTTTATTCCACTGAACACGTTCATTGGAAGAATGAACTTTTTCATTGGTTTAATTAAATGTTACATTAAGTTATGATACACTTGAGTACAGTATATTAATAAAGAGTGATTTGTTATATTAATGAATCCAATTATTTGTTAATGAAAAATATTCAATGTTATATTATATTATCAATTAAAAGTTTTAATAAAGTAATTTTTTCATTGTATCAATGAATTTCAAGTCAATGAGCTTCATTCATTGATATTACGAACAATATTTTTTTCAGTGCATAACGTGCAGTGACCAAAACCAATTTTTTCATTGCTGTTTTTATTGCTGTTTTAGGCGATTATGGTAGGCGGTGTCCAGGTCGGAGTAATAGAATTGAGACGAGCGCTGAGAATAATACTTCTGCCTGAACAAGTAAGTACGAAACGTCCCTTTATATAAGTATACGCTTTGTTTAAACTAATTTTTCCATTGCTGTTTTAGGTAATTGTCTTACAAGACCCCGTTGAAGTACTGGTGCACAATGAGTTCAGATTTGTGTTCGTGCCGGCAGATGTAAGTACAAATAAACGTTCCTTATATAAGTCTACTCTTAGTTTCTATGCGTTGCCACATATTTTTATATTTTTTATATTTTATATATTTTATATTTTTAGATAATATACGACGAGGTGGAGATAGAAGGTTATTTGAATTTCCGATACCGCCAGCGGATAAGACGGCAACGCCGAGCCCGTCGCTACGAGCTTTTACACCTCTGGCTTGAGACCGCCGAAGATAGAGAAATAGAGGAGTTTTATTATCCAGATTCTCCCCCATATGATATATTTAATCTGAACCTTTTATTTGATCTTCGGTCGAACGACGAGCCGGAAGAAAATTATTAAACTTTTGAAAATAATTTTTTGTTTTTTATTTTTTTCTTTAATTTTTTTATAACAATTGATTTCTTTTATTATTCTATGTATTACTCTTATTATGATTTTAGTATCTATTTCATTTACTTGTAACATATATATGTATGTACATGTAATCTGTATGTTTTTGTAATGTATACCTGTACACGTGATTATTCCAATTCAATTACTACTAACATATTAAACATCACTAATTAACACGGAAAAATATATATCTATGGAAAAATATATATGGAAAAATATATATCTATGTATAAATGTATTTAAAAATATATGTAATATATTATGTACATATATGTGAAACAAATTAAATTTTGATTCTCTCTGTCCAAGTGCTAGCTTGGGAGTTCGTTCCAGTATAGTATATATAGTTCACTGGCATATCATGTTCATGTATAAACAGCTTAATCAGTGAAATTACCGACATACATGTGTTTTGTCAAGTAATGCAATAGCGTATCTATTTATAGCCCTTCATAAACGTCGTACGACGTTTAATTAGGATTAATTAAAGTAGGACTTTACAAAGCGTTATTAAGACGGTATTGTGTATGTGTAATATTGCGATATACTTGGTAATTTGCCCAATAATCGATATGCTATCTGCTGAACACGATTCTGCAGACTACAGTTCAATTAGTTCAATAGCAAAACAAAATGGTTTTTCTGAAATAATGAATGTTTAAATAAGATTTACATAAATTTGGTTGTATCACTTGTATCTCATATTTATTAAAGATTTACATAGACTCAGTTGTATCTCATATCGAGCATGTTAATTATATCGTAATATGAGTGTTCAACATCACGCTTATTATCATTCGAGTCATGATTAAGAACTTTAATGGACTTAATATTTAAATGCATTTTGCTGAACGTTATGTACATTTTACAATCAAACGTGGGATGAGTAAAAATGACAATAGAATGAAGTTTGACAATGGAAGAAAGATGAACAGGAACTAAATATGTATGTTTTTTTACTTAAAAAATTGCAGGCTTGTTAAATGTACAACAAATATTATATTGTTTAACAATAATAAATTGTATACAAGATGGTCATCTCCAAGATCGTGTACTAACACAACCGGTGTAAATCCAGGATACTTATAAAATATATAATAGTATAATTGTCACGTTGACACCTTTATTTCTTTACACAAACTACTGAACTGGATAATCTTGTGTTTCTGCACACTAGTGAATGCATGTGATTGACCGAGTGATTGACTTAAAACGAATCGCTTATCTTTTCTTACTGTAGTGCATTCTGTATCATACTCGGTGTATATTTTCATAGCAATTTTTAATTTTAACATTTATTTAACACCCAGTTAATTTTATTGTCAAGTTCTACTAGTGCAATGTCTTTTGTACCTCCAACATTTAATATTTTTTCGTATACATATGACATTTCTTCCTTTATTCACTAATTAGCTTGCTTTAATTAAAATTATTGATACCACAAAATCTGCAGGGACTGTCTTTGTCATTTTATTGTATTCGAGTGTAAAAAGGTTTTATACTCGAAACGATAGTGGTAATAAATTCGTAAGATTTTCAGCAAACTGTTATCTTGTGGGAATTATCTATCTATATAGACAGATGGCAACTACAGATTTAAAGGAAAAAATGGATGTGAATATTTTCAGACATTGTATTTCATTTACAAGTTGAACTTTCAAGTTATCAAGTCAGGGCTGGGGTGACCAATGAGGCCAGTTTTTAATTTCATTATATAAGGCATCTCCAGGACTCAGAGTTTTCGAAACTTGTCGGTGACCTAACAATTTATAGTCGGGCGCGATCTTTCCGGCTTCGACGCCGAGCTCTATGATCTTTCGCGCGGCATGTATTTGCGTTTTCGGCGGTACAACCGAATTGAATGTACCGATGAAGGAAATGCCAATACTCTTGATGTTGAAACCGAAGGAATGGGCACCGACGTAATCCCAGCTTCTGCCAACGTATGCGAGGCCGTCGCCGCCGACGAGGAAATTGTAAGCGATATCCGACCACTTTCTAGATTCGATATGGAAAGTCTGAGCAAATCTCACGTGGAATGTACACTGCGATTGCGTGGTACAGAAATCCGTCGCGGTGTGACTAATAATTACATATGGTACTGGCAGCTTCAGTTTTGTCAGGGGTTCCGAGGGCGGCTGTGCACCCCATTCATTCCTTTCGACAAAGCGTACTGAAGTTATGTTTACACCTGAAAATCATGGAAATAAAGTACATATCAAGTACATATCTACATTGGAGTGTAGAATATTATTCTTATATATGAGAATGCAAAAAGTTTTAAAATATATAATATATATATGACTCGTGGAAAGTAAAGAAGATACGTTTTTAAGTAGACGAATAAATTGAATAAATACAAATATAGAGTGCAAAATACAAATTTTAATTTTGCAATCGTGATAAGATAACGTGTCGCGATTGCAAAACGAAAAATTTTCTACATAAACAATTACCCTCAAGCGATGAGTCTGGAATTTCCGGGAAGACCGGTGAATCCGGATGATGAGAGAAATATACAGTTGTGATTATTACAACAGCTAGAAGTATTATAGCTAGAATGCATGATAAAGCCGCACATCTCCACGTCCAGAGCCATTGGGTCACTAGAATAATTGTAAAAAGCTGTATTAGAACGATTGGTTTATGAGCTACTTAATAACGTTTAATAAAATGCATAATTATTACGTCGGGAAGCGCGTGTTCACGAAAGAAGTATTATAATTACATTAAGCCCCTCGCGTAAAGCATTAAAATTCTTATTTGATGTCACTTTTTTGTTATTTTATTCACAATCGGGTAAACAATTTGCGACGTTCAATATCTGGCCAATTTATACCAGAATAGCATAACACGTACATACTGTGAGGTCAAAATAGCTTTTTTATATTTAGCTTTAATTCTTGTATAGCGCGACTAAAAGTATAACAATTTTTAATTTAGAATATCATCGATATTGATTGAAAATTGTTATACTTACTTTTAATCGTGCCATATTAAAAACTATATTCTGGATTAAAACTATATTCTGGAATTATTGTGATAAGACCATTCAAAGGTATTAATGATATTCGTGACACATTAGTGAAATGGCTTTTAAAAATTGTTGCAGCCTAGCTGGCTCTGATGATAACATTATTATTACATTTTACATAAGAGAAAAAAATTATCGAAGCTATTTCGAGATAGATATAGATCATCGATTCTTATCGCATTTATCTATAATAATTAGCCATTAATACATAACGATATGTATCCGCTTTTATATTTGCTACTTTTCGATTATATCTTAAATAGAACTATCAGTACTACCCAAGATAATTAGTCAAATCGACGTCAATGCGTCGATGAATAAATTATGTCAAACACTGTTTGATAATTTTATCATCTCTATCTTTCAGCATTGACTTTAATTAAGTAATTACTTCATATTTCTATAAGTAAATATTTCTATAAGATTTCTATATCATTCAACCAATTTTATATTGAATTACATATATACCTACATATATACATATATTGTGCTTTCCCTCTTTCGACTTTGCACTAATTTGATATAGAGTTAAATAAAAGACAATAAAAATTTTACAAAAATATTTGCAATTATTTAATTAACATAAAAACAATTATGATAAGGTCAAAGATGGCAAAGATATCAATCAATATTTGATATCGATTGTTTATCAATACATTGACATCGAATTGACGTCGATTCGACTAATCATTTCTGGCTGGATACGTAAGCAACACAAAATGTGTTGAAATGTTTACCATGTAAATCAAAGAGAATTTAATTCTATGAATTTATCAGATTAAGATATGTCGATCACGCCTTCATCGATACACTTCATCGATTACGAAAATCAGTGCCCGCGAGTAATCATTATTACGTTTTACTGATAAATTTAAAATTTAGGACAAATATTGATTTTTCCTACAATATTTAGATACTGAAGATATTTACAACATACACTTTCAAAGTAATTTAAAGCTATAGCTTAGCTTATAGAGCTTGAAAGTATATTTTCTTTATGAGAAAAGATATTAGAGTTTTGTGGCGATAATATTGATAAAAAGTATTTACACCATAATATTTAATTGATGGCTTTGTACATTATAATTGAATTTAGTGGATCGCGATTTATAATTTCTTATATCAAACTGTATCCTGTTGTTATTCTAAGATCCAGGAAATTAAGAGAGATCTATCCTTATTAGTTATCCAACTACTTTGTAATTAAACACATCTGTACTTTGGGAAAAAAAGACAAGTGTAGATTAAAACTAAAAACAACGGGCCTAAACAATCTATTACGCTGCACAAGATTGCCCATTACCTTTATTTAATTCAGTATTTTGCGGAAAAATGGATTCGTTTGGGGCTCCGTTGTCCTTACTCGTCGACAAATCCGAGATATCGATGTCGCAGGCGCGGCTGGAGTCAAGTTTACTCGCATCCTGAATCGGAATGGGATTCGTATAAACGAATTGCTTTATGGTAACCGGACCCTGGTAGAAGGTCTTGTTACCCAGATGCACATTCGTCGAGTTCTTTACACAAACGTCGCCGAAATTTGACGGATCGGCGTTCGGCAGAACGACATCGCCATTCGGAGTGGCGACCGCTTGATGTTGCTGGACGATGGTCGACGACACCGACTGACTCGCGATCCAACCACCGCCTTCTTCGACATCCGTCTCCTCTTCCTCATCGTCGTCGTCTACGTCACTGCACTGCGTAGAGAAATCTCCAACGCTACCATTACCCGGAGCGACGACCGCGGTTTCCCTCGCCGAACTCCCAGCCTCGCCGCGAAACCTGTCGACCGCGTGACACTCGGCAGACACAACAGCACCGTTCACCTGCTCCTTTTGACACTGGTGATTATCGTCAAGCGTTTGCTGCTGCTGTTGCACCAATGTCACCATACCCATGCGCTACGTGTAGTTAAATAATTTTAATAATTCACCTTCTTTACTTCGGATATGTCTTAAAATGCGATATGCCACATGCAGCAGAATGCGCTCGTCGAGAAACAGCTGTGGAGTCTCTTTGTCAGGTCGCTACGAGATGCTTTCACTTCCATTAAAATATAAATGTGCGGTTTAATTCTTTGTCTTTTAATTTGTTCTCTCTTTTCAGATAACAAAGAAAGATCAGTTTGAAAACGTGATTATTTCGTTTAAATTGAAGAATTTGTTTAGTTAAAAAAAATTACTACGTTTTCGAGTTTTCCTTGTAAGATTTACAAAAAAAACTGATTGTGAGAATAGGTTTTGAATCATACTTATGATTGACTAATTGGTGAAACTGGTCATTATAGTATTGTTGAATAAAATCATCGAGGAATGTAACAAACTCGTTCTAATCGACGCTGCTGGATGTGCCTGTTGGGACCTTGTTTTACACAGCAATAGAGTGCTTTCAAGGAAATTATGTTAACAAAACGTAATGCGCGAATCAACAAAATTAGTGATCGGGGAGCAATTTCTGCGATATAAACGGCAATGATAAGAAGCTTAAATGAATAGATTAAAAATAAAATTTAATAAGTCTCAAATACTAACTAATATGGCAAAACTCAAACTTTCTCCGTTAATTGAACAAAATTCCAACGTTATGTATGCTGCATACGGTATAAGTCGCATTTATGCATTTTACACGTTGCGGATATTTATTAATCATTGTAAATTTGATACAAATTATATGCGTATATTAAAGACGTTCGGTGTTGCTGATTTAGTAAATAAATTCTTTATAATATCTAAGAATCATACTGTTTTGGTGAATTATGGTATCATCAGGAATTCTTATATAAATACTGACATCATTATGTACGCCATTATACGCTCTTTTTGCATCAAATTTTTTACGTTGTTATTTTAAAAATAATCGCGATTAATGCAAAATGTTCCGATAAAATATTCTTCTATATATATACCCCGTATTAATATAATATTATTTGAACTCCGTTTTTACAAATTATGGATATTTACGCCGATCACAATCGGACATGTCTCGAATAGAATGTATGTAATAAAAGAACGGCGAAGAGAAAATGATGAGTATGTTTCATAAGAAGTAGAATACCTACAACGAATTGATATTTTCGTAAACAAATTATGGACATCAATTATACTAGCATAAACTGAACGTCGCAACATCATATCTTCGCCGTTCAAAATATTTTACTGCGGAATAAGTTGCGTTCAATCTGGCCGATCAATCGTATCTCGCTTATCTATATCACAGTAGCAAATTTTTAATTAGTCATGGCGTCACTCTTGCTCAGGTAAAGTTATCCTCCGATCGCAGCAAATATAACAGTTCGTCACGCCTTAGCTTGACAAATTGCAACAACTGTAAAAACGAAGTTTATCATAAAAATACATATTTTAACGTGCGTTTTATTTGAATCGAGAACTCATAAGTAAAATGAAAGACAAGCTCGATTGGGAAACATATCACTCGTGATCATCAGTATTTCAAATCGGCGTAGTCGGTCGGCAACAATCCGCACTATCCGCTAAATTAAGTATTGACTGACTCATACTTGGGATTACCTCGTACAAATCATCGTTCGTGCTGGCGGCCGTCACTTTGACAACACTAAATTCACCATCGATCTACAACCTGGTGCCGTCATCGTGGAAAACGCTTCGTGGAAAAGAAAACTTCATTCTATATCTGGCCCTAACACGACGTTGACACCACCTGCAGTTGGAGGATGCACTGTCCCGCGGGAACAAAGTACAATCTGAACAAAAGCGGACTCTAGTTCAAGCCACTATCGGCTATTTTCGTTGATCCTACGACACTGTCAGATAGATACTGGCCTCAGCGATGACGCCACACGGCTACCGAAGGACGACGCGCCTTGGAGGTGGAATCGTGGACAGCGCTTGTTCTCGCTCGCGAATAGCAAAGCGAGAAAAATAACAGAAAAGCGGAGTCCAGGAACTGGTATAGCGTGCACGATATTCTCTTTCGCACAATAGGTATTTCCGTATTTCATTTGAATGCTAACGCCTTGGATTCCTCTGTGCTGATGATACTATACGTGGATGGCACTGCGGTCACTGCGGTCGCATCTCAATCTACGTCACTGCTGCGTATTAAAATGACGTTATCATAAATATAAATCCGAGAATATGTTGTACATATAATATATAAGTATATTTCGGAAGTGCGCGACGCTCGTTTTTATTGAAAAGAATGGATTTTGCAGTTGCAAGCCACTTGTTAAGCACTTACTGACAAACGAACTGCCGATGAAACCAAAGCACGCGTAATGGCAGCATTATCTCCGTTCAATTCGACACAGAACAGACTACTGTTGCGTTGTCGAACGTGCTCGGAAATCGTTGGCCCCACTCTTTGCCTCTTTCTCTCAACTACAACGTTGACGACATAGTTGCGGCGTGCATGTATATGTGCGATAACATCGCTTTACACGATTTTTAGTCTTTTCTGTGGAGCCGAATGGACTTGTATCTTTATTTCTATGACAGGAGATTTCTAACACCAGTAGCGTACATGAAACATCTATATTATTCCTATTATATAATGTTTTGCAATTAGAGACGATAGATTAGTGCTTCGCGCTAATTTTATCATGATTATTTGCCTTGAATTAAGAGGCTGTGTATTTAAGACGGAGCTAAAAGTTTTGTAGAGAAGAACTTTCTACAAACTTATAATCATGCAGTTATGTGTATATTTGTATAATTATATCTTAAAATCAAATAGACAATGTTTTAAGAGACAATTTTTTATATCTTTAAAAAAAATTAGTAGCATGAAGCATGATAATATGCCAGATTCTTTCGGATACAATGACATTATATGAATTGAAATGAATTTAACATGCCAAGATGTCAATATGTGTTTTACTTGGATATAATATTTTATTTAATAAAATAGTATTATTTAAATAAATATAAAATATTATATTTGATATAATAATATTCTACATTCATAGTATTCAACACATATTCAACATAATTATATTAAATCGACAGTAAATGAAAACATGTGATTAAAAACTTGATGACAAGGTTTTCGCAATACTAATAAAAATATTACATATGATAACTTGAGTTACATATGATGCGCGAATACATACATAAGATGATAATTCCTTAATCAAAATGCCTTCCTTTATGCTATCGCATTTATAGATAGAAACTTTAATATCGTAATGCTATCAGCGTCGAGTTTAAATTAGCAGATTGTTGTATTAATGATATAATAATACGTATGTAAAGCTATGTGACGAAAAATATCATATAATCAGAAAATAAATCGGAAACGTTGATTAAGTTTTTTTTCGGAGAAATTAATTTTTGAAACTGGGAAAAGTATTTTTAAGACACAAATAAATAATATATTTGTTTTATTTGCTTATAAGATAGGTTAGGTTTTTATATGCAGAATGCAAGATTTATATGGTGATTTCGGTTTGAAAGCTTTTGAGCGATTGAAACTTATTTACACTTTGATATCGTATGTATTTTACACACATGTATTCGTGACTAAAAGCATATTCGTGCATGTTTTACTGATATATTTTGTTAAAGATTATTACATATGTATACATGGGTATATGCAAATGCAATCGAGATTTACCTCCTACGATAGCTTCTGAGAATCTTAATCACGAAAATAATTGGAACACAGCGATAAAGTCGTGTTTCCCGGAATATAGATCTCGAATGTAGTTAATGTAGTTATATTAATTTTTTAATTTACCGAAGACTCTATAAAGAAGATAAAACTGAAAATAAATTAACAATAGTTGATAATTGTAAGAAAAGGAGTATTATCATCAATCTTAATTATTTTACTCTTGACTATTTTATTTAAGTACCGTCTAAGTTCCGATATCAATTCTCAACAGTATCACTTAACATATTTCAGTATTTATTATTACATATATTTATTATTAAATAGTTATTTACTGATACACTGATGAAGACTGACAATGAGTCGAAACGTTCGGTTATGTACAATGTTTAATCTCTTATTTTTTATTATTAAATAAATTAATATTTAAAACTTAAGTTTATTAAACTCGTCCTTGGCTTAGCAAACTTAGCTTATTGTTTAGCTTGTAATGAGAGAATTAATTTTATTTAATTTAAAATATTAATGTCAGTCTTATCTTTGACATTAATATCAATTATGTCTCTTCATATATAGCAAATTACTTGAATAACGATAATAATCTGTCAATTATCTTTCTTGTTATATGTTATATGTTATAATATAGATTGATTGATATATTAATATCAATACTGATTTGTAATTATATGATTAATAAGAGTATTCCATGCTTAAGATTAGGATAAGAATTGTGTTCTTCTTTTCAATTAAATGTAAAATAAAGTTTTATCTCTATTATCTTTAAATCAGATCTTTTTGTATATTATTTTTATTACTCAATTATTAAGAAATAATATTTGTACTTGAAGATAAAAACAATAATTTATTATGGAGATTAAGTATATTAAAAAATCATGAGCGTACAAAATAAATTTTTCAGAAACATTTCTGTTTGTCTAATTATAACTATTTTTGAAAAAATAAATAATAATGATATTTTAATAGATGAATAGAGCAAAAAAGAATATCGCTAACTACAATACTATTAATATATGAAGCAATAATTGCACGAAATATATTTTTAATAAATTATTTTATTGCAGTCGCGTTTTGTACACACTCCAATTTGATACTAGTTATCTTCTTCAAAATTATTATTTTCTCATATGCTTGATACATATATATGTATAGTCCGACAGATTATTCATTTATAAAATGCAATAAATAGCAAAAGACACCAAATGTTATTAAGAAATTTAATATCACGTCATAATTTACACTTTTAATAAGTGTATAAAAGGTTTTACTCTAGCAATACATCCTAATTATGAAATTACATGACATGAAAATAGGAATATCATTAGACTATTATTTATTAGATTTTTTGTTTACACTTTCTTTTAATTTGTTTTGAAATTATGTGAATATTTTTACGTACAATATATTTAATTTAAAAAATATATATTTACACCAATCTGGAAAAAAAGATACATATTATTTATCAAGCGACGCAGTAGCATCGTGACGCCAAGTACGTAAAAAAATGGCTTGTAATTTGACTGACCGCGTTGTTGCCTACATTCAGGGGCATATGACCGCGGCGCGGCGCGGCGCTACCAAATAACTTTACCGAATATTCATTTTATGCGTATAACGTTAATACAAGCTTTCGGTTGCGACTAGTCTGAAAAAGATTGGTACAGTCAATACTGAGATCTCAAAATCTCGACGTAAGACAAACGTAAATCTCAAAAAATAACATCTTTTAAAATACTACATATGTTTTATTAATAAATTTTTATTTTATTTTTCTGTGACTTGTGATTTTAGGCAAATTCTAGATCATATAAAACCCAAAATCAAAATAAAGCATAGAAACTTGGCGTGCCCGGGTCGCATTTTAAAATACTTACACATCACATTTCTATACAATCTAAATTTACTTCTTTTATATTTTATATAATAATTTGCAATTTTTTATTTTAATTTTAATTACATGCAATAATATCAATGATATATATAATTTGATACAATGGAAATATTATGTGTGTTTTATAATATTTAAATATATATGTAAATTGCGATTATATATCAGAGGACTAATGATATATTGTTATTATGCTCGAGCTAAACTTCCGCGCACTCACACATGCGACCGCGTTTGCGCATTCTCGGACCCGCGGAGGAATGAAAAACACCAAGTTTCCATACACTGAGCAAAAAAGCTGTTGCTTCAATTAAAGTGGTATCAGGGGGTGTCAAAACATAAGTAGTTTATTCAATTGTATTTATATTAGACCCAATATCTGGATTATTAAACCAATAATTTAATTATTGGTTCACTTAAATTGTTGTGTTAATTTAACATAATATGGATGTGTCAAATGGTAATACCGATGCTATGTTAAAATATTTCAACAGAAAGGAAATGTAATTCTGATCGTAATTTGAGGTTAATTATGTATAACAATTAACATAACTTTTATGTTGAAGTTAAGATTGTAAGATAAAATCAACACTTTTTTTCTGTAAATTTTAACACATTTAATAAATACGTTTAAATTATGTTACTTTAACATATTTTTAAAATTATTTTAATAATTTTATATTTGTTAAGTTCAATTAACATAGCAGGCATATGTTGTGTAAACTGTAAATCTACAATATGTATGCGTTGATTATTTTACACATAAATTTTAACACGGACTTTTTTTAACAAAACTAAAAAAAAATTCCAACAGTGTATGAAATTTGATCATAAAATGTCAAACCTTTTGTACCTTCAACATTCAATATTTATATATATATATATATATATATATATATATGACTAGATTTTTCGCCCGCGCTTCGCGCGGGCTCAAAATTTATTCCTTTCTCCTCAAACTCACTCATTAATTAAGAGCACCAATAGAACCCCATAAAACTCAATTTTCAACCCCATAGTAGCCATTTCCATAAAATTAGTAATCTTTTGGTACCAATTTCATCAAAATCATCAACAAAAAATTAGAAAAATTTTGGCACCGATTTTAAGAAAATCGATCCATTAATAAAAAATTATCCATTAATAAAAAATTAAACTTATCCTTCAAAAATTAAAAAAAAATTTGGCACTGGTTTTAAGAAAATCGGTTAATTAATACTTATTATTTCTCAAAATTTGAATAATTTCCAAACTGGTTTCCAAAAAATCGGTAACAAAAAATTATCCATAAAAAAAATTTAGTTTGATATCTCAAAGTTTGCGGAAATTGGAACAATCACGTACACTTTTTTAAAGCAGAAATCGGAAACTTTTTTATTATTAACAATTTTTCTGTTACATTCTTTAGTTCTTTCTACCCTTATTTCATATATAATTCTTTGAGATTCACTCAATTATTTCCTGAAAAATTGGACTTTTTTGAGCTAGCAGGAACCTTTAAGGTCTGGGCTGAGATGACCAATGGGGCCACTTTTTAATTTCATTATATAAGGCATCTCCAGGACTCTTAGTCTTCACAGCTTGTCGGTGACCTAACAATTTATAGTCAGGCGCAATTTTTCCGGCTCCTCTGCCTAACTCTATGAGCTTTTGCGCGGCATTTAATTGCGTTTTCGGCGGTACAACCGAAGTGAAATCACCGATAAACGCAATACCGATACTTTTGCCGTTATATTCTCCTGAATGGCCACCGACGTAATTCCAGTTTCTGCCAACATATGCGAGGCCGTCGCCTCCGACCATGAAATTGTAGGCGATATCCGCATAATCATTTTTCATCTGATAATTCTGGATAATTCTCAATTTGTTTGCGCACTTTGATTGCGTGGTACAGAATGCTGTCGCAGTGTGACAAATAATTACATGTGGTACTGGCAGCTTCATTTTTCTTAGGGGTTTCGAAGGTGGCTGTGCACCCCATTTGTCCCTCTCGACAATGCAAAACTCTGTCCCGTTATCATCTGCAAATCATAAAAATAAAATACATATTGTACAAAAAGTTCAAGATAAACCATGCAGACAATTTAATTAAATGCTCTTTAATTTAATATCAAATGTTGCAATTTTAATCAGATGCATACGTTAATTTTAATATTAAATTCTAGAACATTACTGTAAAGACTTTATCGATTAGATCCTACTGACTACCATTTTTAATTGTCATGACAATACGACCATTGATTTGATCAATTAATCATCAAGATGTTCTGACCATGGGTTTTGGATCTTTTAAATTAATGTAATTTGAATGCTTATATACATAATATAGATGACTCATGAAAAATAGAAAAGACACGCTTTTAAGCAGACGAATAAATGGAATAAATACAAATATAAAGTGCAAGATACAGAATTTAAGTTTGCAATTGCGATAAGATAAAACATTTGCCTCGTGTCGCGCTTGCAAAACGAAACATTTTCCAGATGAACAATTACCCTCGGTCGATGAGTCTGGATTTTCCGATGGGACCGATATGGTCGGTGCGGGCCCGGGCGGTGCTGGCGGTACGTCCGGATGATGAGTGAAATGTACAGTTGTGGGCACTACAATAGCTAGAAGTATTAAAGTTAGGACGCACGATAAAGCCACACGTTTCCACATTCAGAGCCATTGCGGTCGTGACGTCACTAGAATAATTATAAATTGCTGTATTAGAACGATTTGTTTACGAGCTACTTACTTAACTCATTAACTGCTTTGGACCAGAATACTTGCGCGACGATATCGCTCGTCAAACTCTTTAAAATTAACTTGGGCCGCAAGTTTGTCAAGCAAATTTTCATACTTTAACTACAAATATATCTAAAAATCAAGATTGTTTAATCAACATCAACTAAGTCTTTTTTATATTAATATTTAAGGTAAGAGGAGAAGTATAAGGAAAAAATGTGTATAAAGAAAAAATACTAATTTATTTGAATTGTTTTTTTGTGTGATAAATCCGAAAGTATGGAACAACACAAAGGACAACATTACAATGCTTATGACTTGACTTCTGAGTTTCCTTAACAAACGAGTTAACTCGTCCAAAACAGGCAATATCGTCGCACGAGTATTCTTATCCAAAGCAGTTAATGAATTAATAATATTGTTTGAAATTTATGCACGATTATTACGTCGAAAAGAGGGTGTGTACAAAATGAATATTATATATATATACATATATATAAATAAAACAAAGTCGGGTTAGTTACACCATTTATAACTCAAGAACGGCTGGACCGAATTTTTACCACAAGTATATAAAATAGGGGTAGATTTTTTCGGGGAGTGCTATAGAATGTGTAGTTTTTCGTTACCAATTTTTTGGAAACCGATTTTTTTAATTCTTACGGGTGGTGAAAAAAAAAGACCAGGGCGAAGCCCGCGGGTAACTAGCTAGTAATTATTATGAAGTCCCTCGCGAAAAGCGTTATAATTCTCATTTAACATCACTTTTCAGTTATTCTATTCACAATCGAGTAAACAATTTGCGGCATACATGTCTCGCTAATCTATGCCAAAATAGTATAACACGTATGTATTGAAAAATAAAAATAGCTCTTTTAGCTTGAATTCTTGTGGCGCGACTAAAGTGTAACAATTTTCAATCTAGAATATTGACGATGCTAGAACTATATTCTGGAATAGTTGTGACAAGACCATAAGTCAAAGAAGTTAATGATATTCATTACACATTGGCTGTTCTTTCAAAAACATCCATGTTCCGATTTAGGTCAGAGTTTGTAAACAATAAAATTTGCATTTATCTAATAATAATAGAATGAGTGTGATAAAAGAATGGCGAAAAGAGTAACTTTTGCTCAGATAAAATTACTTACATCTTGGAACAGAGTAGTTCGTCATGCCTTATCTTGACAAATTACAACATCAACTGCAAAAACGAAGTTTATCTTAAAAATACGTATTTTTCACATTTTATTTAAAAAATGGAAGACAAGGAGCGAGCTCGATCGGTATCCCAAATCGACGCAGCCGGTTTGTTAAATTAAGGATTGACTGACTCATACTTGGAATTATCGTACAAATCATCGTTCGTGCTGGCGGCAATTATATATACTTTACCAACACTAAATTTACAATCAATCTATAATGACAGTTATCGTGGAAAACTCTTCGCGGAAAGAAAAACTTTATTCGATCTTACCCTAATGATTTTTTGACACGTCGTTAACACTACGCTGCTATTAGAGAATGCAGCGTCCAGGGAACGAAGTACAATCCGAACAAGAACGGACTCGGATCAAGCCACTACCGGTTATCTTCGTTGATTTTATGACACTGTCAGTCAGACAGATACTGGCTTCAACAATGGCGGCACGCGGCTGCCGAAGGAAAACGCGCCTTAACGGTGGAATCGTAGAAAACGCTCGTTCTCGCTCACGAGAAGCAAAACGAAGAAAAGAACAGAAAAGCGGAGACTAGAAACTGGTACAGTAGCAGGAAATTGCCTTTCGCATAATAAGTATTCCTCTATTTAATTTGAATGATAACGTCTGGGATTTCTGTGCTGATAAGTGGATGGCACTGCGGTCACCATGTCGCACCCAATCTACGTCACTGCTGTGGATCACGCTGCGTATTAAAGCGAAGACACCGTAAATATAATGCGATCCGAGAATATGTTGTATATATCGCACCCTGAGAAGAATACTATCACAACAACAAAAATACACAATTTTTAGGAAAGAGGAAAAACAAATTTAATTCAATTTTTTTAAATTGTTTGATAACTAACACAATACTTATGCAATTATGATATTTTGTTATAATAAAACTTATATTGTTTTTTGAAGAGGTCTGCTATAATTTTACTTGTCAATTCACTTATAACACTATTTATCCAGAAAATCGCAATATAACGGGGTTTAAAAAAAAATAACAATACTTCTACTCCGGTCAGTGGACGTCGCATGTAGACTTGTGATTTATTAAAACACGTAGATAATATTTTAGGCATACCTACTGTTATGGGGTTAACTCAAAATCGGAATTTTTTTTAATTGTGACAGTATTCTTCTTAAAGTATATAATCAGTACAATCTCGTAATTCGGCACTATTAAAAACCAGGTTGTGCCGAATTAATGGATTTGGCGGATTATTGGAATGTAAGAAATATAGGAGGTAAATAAAATAATTGAGCACTTTAAAACTTTTGAATTTACAACAAACAAAATAAAACTAGAAAACGGCGATGTATTTTCGCAAAAACATATAAACAATGCAGTATCAGCGACAGTTTAACGGTCACTAATTAATAGATTAACAATACACGTAAGCGTTAAATCTGTCCCCGTGTCTTTTGCTTAAGAAGTCGCGGAAGCACGAGATAGTGCCGGATTATTGGACGTACAAGATTATTTATCAAAGTGCCGGGATTAGCGAGATTGCAGTACTGTATATATTTCGCAAGTGCGCGACACTCGTTTTTATCGAAAAGAATAGAATTTCTCGTAAGCTGCTTGTCAAGCACCACCAGATCTGTTTTCTATTGCTGAACTAGTGCAGCCAGTTCAGCAATAAGAAATAGACCCATTGATAATTGAATTGCCGATGGAATCAAAGCACGAGTAATGCCGACATTATCTCCGTTCAATCCGACACTGGAACAGACTGCTGTCGCGTTGTCTTGTCGAACATGCTTAGAAATTGTTGGCTCCACCCTTTGCTTCTTTCCCTCAACCACAACTATTAACGACATGTGTAGCTACGGCATGCATATATATGCACGATAACGTCGTATTACACGATTTTTATGGTGCGTACTCTCCACCTGCGAGTAAGAACTCTCGAGAGCAAAAAGAAAGAGAGAGAGAGAAAGACTCTCGAGAGTCTTTTTCTCTTTCTCTCTTTTTGCTCTCGAGAGTTCTTACTCGCAGGTGGACACGCACCATTAGTCCTTCTCTTGGAATTGAATGGACTTGTATCTTCATTTCTATGACCGGAGGTTACTAACACCAGTAGAGTACGCACGAAACATCTACGTAATTTTTATTATATAACTTTTTGCAATTTAATGAAAATGATTAGTGTTTTACGCTAATTATATCACGATATTTACCTCAAATTAAGAGGCAGTATTAAAAAAAATTTTTTTTAGAGCTATCGTAGAGAAGGTTTTTTTGTATAGAAACAAACTTATAATCATGCATGCAGTTATATGTATAATATTATCTATCTTAACTAAATTTAAAAAGACAATGTTTTAAGAGGCCATTTTTCATATCTTTGGAAAAATCTAGTAGCATAAACTGATAATATACCTTCTCTTGATGTAATGAGATTACATGAATTTAAATGGATTTAACACAGCTGAGATGTCAATATGTGTTTTACTTCGATATAATATTTTATTTAATAATAGTATTATTTAAATAAAAATAGAATATTATATTTGACAATATAATATAGAATAATGTTCTACAGAATATTCGACATAATTATAATAAATCGACAATAAATGGAAGCATGTAATTACAAATTTGCTGATAATGGTTTCGGAATATTAATAAAGATATACATATATGTATATAAAGTAAATGCGCGAATACACATGTAAAATGATAATTCCTCAATCAGAATGTCTTTATGCTATTGCATTTGTTATAGATAGCTAATAATTTTAACCGATTATATCAGCGTCGAGTTCAAATGCGTTGTTGTATTAATTTAATTGTAGAAAATCATATGTATAAAGATATGACCAAAAATATAATACTACCAGAAAATAAATCAAAAGTGTCGAATAAATTCTTTTCAAAAAAATCGATTTTAGAATGTGGGAAAAATATTTTTAAACCAAAACCGTAAATAAATAATATGTTCGTTTTATTTGCTTATAACATAGTTATATATTCATATACGAAACTCAAAAGACTTCCAATAATTTCGGTTTGGAAGCTATTGAGCCGAGATTAAAACTTATTTGCATTTTGATATTGTATGTATATTTTACATATGTATATGTAATAACGGTTAAAGATATATTTATACACATGTTTCATATACTTTGTTAAAAATTATTACATACACTGGTGGAAATGGAAAAAAAAACACCATGAAGGGCAGATATATCCACTATTAAGGTACCTGTAAAGTACTCTCAATAAAGATTTAGATAATGTTGTACGATCTTGTCTTTTTTATTATGCATCGTGCTCGACCGTACAAATAAACACAGCGTTATCGGATATTATAGGGATAAAATGTTCTAGATGTTCTCTTTTCTATTTCCATCAGTGTATGTATGTAAGTATACAAGTATAATCGAGATTTACCTCCCGTGATGACTTCTGAAAATTTAATCGCGAAAGCGATTGAAGCACCGGTAAAATCATTTCTCGGAATATATATTTCGATAGTTATAGTTATATTGATACAGGTCGGAGTTAATTACATGATTAATTGCATAATTATCAATTTTATTATGAAGTTTGACCATAAAATGTCAAACCTTTTGTACCTTCAACATTCAATATTTTTTATATATATGATATTTCTTTCCTCTATTCACTAATTGTTCTAAATATTTAATATTTTCAGTAAACTGTTATCTTGTGGGAATTATCTATATAAACAGATGGCAACTACAGATTTAAAGGAAAAAAAGAAAAGTGAATATTTTTAGACATTGTATTTCATTCACAAGTTGAACTTTCAAGTTATCGAGTCAGGGCTGGAGTGACCAATGGGGCCAGTTTTTAATTTCATTATATAAGGCATTTCCAGGACTCAGAGTTTTTGAAATTTGTCGGTGACCTAACAGTTTATAGTCGGGCGCAATCTTTCCAGCTTCGACGCCGAGCTCTATGATCTTTTGCGCGGCACGTAATTGCGGTTCGGGCGGTACAACCGAATTGAATGTACCTATGAAGGAAATACCGATACTCTTGCTGTTGAAACTGATAGAATAGGCACCGACATAATCCCAGCTTCTGCCAACGTATGCGAGGCCGTCGCCGCCGACGAGGAAATTGTAGGCGATATCCGACAACATTCCAGATTCAATATGGAAAATCTGAAGAAATCTGACGTGGAATGTACACTGCGATTGCGTGGTACAGAAATCCGTCGCGGTGTGACTAATAATTACATATGGTACTGGCAGCTTTATTTTTTTTATGGGTTTCGAAGGCGGCCGTGCACCCCATTCGTCCCTCTCGACAAAGCGTCCCGGAGTCTCTGTTTCATTATTGTCTGAAAGTCATGAAAATATAGTACATATCGTACAAAAGGGTCAATTAAGATATACCATATACAGACAAATTAATTAAAAGCTCTTTAATTTAATACCGAATGTGACAATCTTAATCGGATGCATACACCAATTTTAGTATTAAATTCTAGAACATTACTGTAAAGACTTTTTAATTCTACTGACTACCATTTTTAATTATCATGACAATACGACCATTGATTGGATCAATTAATCATCAAGATGTTCTAACCATGGGTTTTGGGCCTTTTGATGTAATTGGGCCAAATTAATGTAATTTGGATGCTTATATACATATACAATATAGATGACTCATAGAAAATAAAAAAGACACGCTTTTAAGTAGACGAATAAATAAAATAAATAGAAATACAGAGTGCAAGATTATACAGAATTTAAGTTTGCAATCGTGATAATATAACATTTGCCTCGTGTCGCACTTGGAAAACGAAAAGTTTTCCAGATGTACAATTACCCTCGATCGATGAGTCTGAAATTTCCGAAGGGATCGGTGCGTCCGGATGATGAATGAGGTATACAGTTCTGGGCACTACAATAGGTAGAAGTATTGAAGCTAGAACGCACGATAAAGCCACACGTTTCCACGTCCAGAGCCATTGCGGTCGTGACGCCACTAGAATAATTATAAATTGTTGTATTAGAACAATTTGTTTACGAGCTACTTAATATTGTTTGATGAAATTTATATACGATTATTACGGGAAACTGGTGTGTATATGAAAGGAATATTATAATTACATAAAGCCCTTCACGTAAAACGTTATAATTCTTGTTTGATATCACTATTTTCTGTTATTCTATTCACAATCGAATAAACATTTTGTGGCATACAATATCTCACCAATCTATGCCAGAATAGCATAACATGCTCTTTTATACTTGCTTCAATTTTTGTGGCGTGACTAAAGTGTAACAATTTTCAATCTAGATCTAGAATACCAACGATGTTAAAACTATATTCTGGAATAGTTGTGATAAGACCATAAGTTAAAGGATTTAATAATATTCGACATTACATATCGGCTGTTCTTCCAAAAACGTCGTGCTCTGATTTAGGCCAGAGCTTTTAAACAATAGGATTTGCATTTATTTAATAATAAAATGCATGTGACAAAAGAATGGCGAAAAGAGTAACTTTTTCTCAGTTAAAATTACTTACATCTTGGAGCAGAGCAGTTCGTCATGTCTTATCTTGACAAATTACAACATCAACTGTAAAAACAAAGTTTATCTGAAAAATACGTATTTTACACACTTTATTTAAACAATGGAGAACAACAGCGACAAGCTCGACCGAGGACCATCACTCGTGATCAGTATCTCAAATCGGCGCAGCCGGTTCGTTAAATTAAGGATTGACTGACTCATACTTGGGATTACCTTGCACAAATCATCGTGCGATCACTTTATCAACATTAAATTTACAATCAATCTATAATGACTATAATGACGCTTATCGTTATCGTGGAAAGTGCTTCGCGGAAAGAAAAACTTTATTCGATCTTACCCTAATGGTTTTCGACACGTCGTTGACACCATCTGCTGTTAGAGGATGCATGCAACGTCCTGGGAACGAAGTACGATCCGAACAAAAGCAGACTCGGATCAAGCAAACTCTACCGGTTATCTTTGTTAATTTTACGACACTGTCAGTCAGAGAGATACTGGCTTCAGCAATGACAACACGCGACTGCCGCAAAACGACGCATCTTAAAAGTGGAAAACGCTCGTTCTCGCTCGCGAGAAGGACAACAATAATATTCCTCTGTTTATATTTGAATGATAACACCTAATGGGATTCCCGTGCTGATAGGTATGTATCTTCTCAAACAGGATTTCTGATAACGAGATAAAAAATATTTTTGACGTGTTTAACCCTTAAATGCCACACCTCTCAAGAATCTCGTAAATGACATGAGGGGTCTAAAAGACCCCAGCATGAAAAATGTCTCCTTACTTATTGATTTTTTGATCTTTAGTTATGAAAATTTTTTTCAATGTTGTTCAAGACTTATAAAAGAGAATAAAATGCTTATATTGTTAAAATTTTAATTTCAACATAGTATAAAAAATTAAGTAAACTGAGTACTGCTAAGTGTACAAACGGGTAGGTCAATCACTCAACTATCATCAATGGGAGTATGAGCTCCATTTTTGGTACAAACATTTGAAAATATATCATTGTAAAGGGTCTGGGGTCCGCTGGACCCCAAAAGGCATTTAAGGGTTAATGTAATCACAACCTGAAACAGTATAAAAATAAAACAATATTAAGATTAAACAATAATTCCTATTCTTCTTCGTCGAATGAAATAAGATTGACTTAATATCTTGAGAAAAGAGTAACACATATAAATTCAAGCTTATATATTCTTGCGTTTAGATTAAGGTTGTATTCTGATATTTATTGGGTACTTTCCATTTACTGACACAAGTCGACACAAATCTCGTTCTGTCTTTGTTACTCATTAAATGCCAAGAAAGGTACAACGACACGTTTATGTCGATTTGTGTCACTAAATGGAAAGCACCTATTGTCAGCTTTAATAACTGATGATATCAACATCGAGTTCAAATGCGTTGTTGTATCAATTTAATTATAGAAAATATATGTATAAAGATATGACCAATAATATAATCAGAATATAATCATATAAATCGGAAGCGTAAAGTAAGTTTTCTTTTCGGGAAAATTGATTTTAGAAACTGGAAAAAATATTTTTAAAACATAAATAAATAATATGTTCGTTCTATTTGCTTATAAAATAGTTATTTATGTACGGAATGCAAAAGGCTTATGGTAATTTCGGCTTAAAAGCTATTGAGCAGAGATTAAAACATATTTGCATTTTGATATTGTATGTTTATTTTACATATATGTAATAATGATTAAAAGTATATATATATATATATATATATTTATGTGCATGCTTTATGTACTTTATTACAAATTATACATATGTATGTGAGTATACAAGTGTAATCGAGATTTACCTCTCGTGATGACTTCTGAGAATTTAATTGCGAAAGCGATTGGAGCACAGATAAAATCGTTTCTCGGAATATACATCTCGATAGTAGTTATATTGATACAGATCGGAGCTAATTACATAATTAATTACGTAATTACCAATTTTGTTATGAGATTCGACCAGTGCAATGTCTTTTGTATCTTCAACACTCAATATTTTTTTATATGCAGTATTTTCTTCTTTTATTCACTAATTTGCTTGTTCTAATTAAGTTTATTGATACCTACCACAAAATCTGCAGAAACTGTTTTTTTTGTCATTTTATTGTATTCGAATGTAAAAAGATTTTTATACTCGAAACGGGAATAATAGACCCGCGATATTTTCAGTTAACTGTTATCTGTACATGTTGGAATCATATCTAACTGACATAGGCAGATGACAACTGCAGATTTAAAGGAAATAGGATGTGAATAATTTTAGACATGGTATTTCATTCACACGTTAAGGCTCCTATTCACTTACTGCAGTCATCTTGAATTGATAACGTCAAAAACGAGAAAAATATTATGAAAATTCTTGCGACGTACATTAGTAAAAATGTTTTTCAATAAGATAGCGTTTGTAATCGATAGAATAGACTTGTAAGATATATCAAAAACTTCTTTTTTGTTTGGATAATTCACGTATGTCGAATTGAATCAATGCCTAATCAAGGATGAAAACAAGCCGTTTAGCAGCTGCCGAATTGAAATAAAAATATTTGCTTTTACATATTAAATTATAACAAAATAGTAGTCTTCGGTATATTTTAACACTACGACAATTATTTTAAATAAAAAAACACTACGTTGAAACGAAAAATACGCTGTAGGTCGCAAAACTAATTCAGTTTTTTAATGTTATTTTTCGCACCTTTTAGTTCACAATTTTGCCAGGTATTTGTATATTGTCAACGCGGACTTTTGGCAATCGAGCTAGCAGGAACCTTTATCTGGGCTCGGATGACCAATGAGGCCACTTTATAATTTCATTATATAAGGCATCTCCAGGACTGTCAGTCCAGGGCACAGCTTGCCGATGACCTAACAGTTTATAGTCAGGCGCAATTTTTCCGGCTCTGACGCCGAACTTTATGAGCTCTTTCGCGGCATTTAATTGCGTTTCCGGCGGTACAAACGAAGTGAAATCACCGATGAACGCAATACCGATACTTATGCGCTTATAGCGATCAGAGTGGGCACCGGTTTGATTCCAGCTTCTGCCAACATATGCGAGGCCGTCGCCTCCGACAAGGAAATTGTAGGCGATATCCACTAAATCTTTTTTATCCTGCATAATTCTTAATTCGTTTGCACACTCTACGTAATTGGTGCAAAAATTTGACGCGGTGTGACAAATAATTACATATGATACTGGCAGTTTCACTTTTTCTAGGGGTCTCCTAGGCGGCCGTGCAAACCATTTATCCCTGTCGACAATGCATAACGGAGTTTCTGCTTCGTTACTACCTGCAAGTCATGAAAATAAAGTACATATCGTACAAAAAGTTTAAGATATACCATGCAGACAAATTAATTAAAAACTCTTTAATTTAACACAGAATGTGACAATCTTAATCGGATACATACGCCAATTTTAGCATTGAAATCTAGAACATTACTGTAAAGATTTTTTAATCGACCCTACTAACTATCATTTTTAATTGTCATGAAAATACGATTATTAGTTTTAATCAATTAATCATCAAGACGTTTAGACTATGGGTTTAGGGCCTTCCAAATTGATGTAATTTGGATGCTTATAAATATACATTTAATTTATTGCGAAATATACCTCAGTCAGGTTAGACAAACCAAAACCCATAATTGAAACGTCGTGACGATTAATTGATCAAAACCAATGGTCGTATTATCATGACGATTAAAATTGATAGTCAGTATAGGGTCGATTAAAAAGTCTTTACTGTTAATTGTTCACTGGCAAAGTAAATGTTACTATTCGGCTAGAATATTACTCTTATATACATATATGACAATGCATTTTGAAATATTAATATAATATATGTAACTCATGGAAAATAAAAAAGATACACTTTTAAGTAGATGAATAAATGGAGTAAATACAAATACAGAATTTAAATTTGCAATTGCAATAAGATAACATTTGCCTCGTATTGCGCTTGCAAAACGAAAAATTTTCCAGATGTACAATTACCTTTGATCGATGAGTCTGAAATTTCCCAAGGGACCCGTGCGTCCTGATGATGAGTGAAATATTCATTTATAGGCACTACAGTAGGTAGAAATATTGAAACTAGAACGCACGATAAAGCTACATGTTTCCAGAGCCATTGCGGTCGAGACGTCACTAGAATAATTATAAATTGTTGCATTAGAATGATTTGTTTACGAGCTACTTAATATTGTTTGATGAAGTTCATGCACGATTATTACGTCGGAAAGCGGGTGTGTACGAAAGAAATATTATAATTATACCCGGGAAAAAATGATTATATTTACTTAGATCAAAGTATAGATCTGAATTATCAGATATGATCAGATCTGCATTTTTTGTCTATAACTAATCAGATCTGTGCTGATCTGGGTCAGATCTCAGGTAGCACATATTCGTTTCAGAAACGTTTAAGAAATGTTTGTTTGAAACGTTTTATAACCGGTTTAAAAACATTCTTTTGCTTTATCTAGTAAAAAATAAAAAAAAAAACGTTTTTTAAACTCTGTTTCTTTATATACGTCGTAGCAATCATTCATCCGAGTATAGTACCGCATCCTCGTTGCTTGACTTTGATGATCGAGTGGACAAATTACGATCCTCTGACTCGAATCTGACGCTTCCTTTTTACCTGTACTTGTCTATAACACATCTTTAATGTGTTCAGAAATCTTGTAATGATATATTAACTGGCAAATATTAAAAATAAAATAAAAAAAATTTATATACAATGAATATTAATAATATTAATTAATATTTACTAACGCTAATTATTATTAATTAATATATAATAATATTTATATTTATATTTATATTAATATAAGATTTGTATATTTAAAACAATATAATATATAAGAAAATATTAGTACTCCATATAGTATTACGATCTGATTATGTACACATCTAAATAGATCTGATTGGACTTATTTTACGCATATATAATAAATATAACTAGATCTATTTAGATCGACATCCCATATCTAGTTAGATCTAATCAGATATAAAAATAGATCTGATTTGATATAATCATTTTTTCTAGGATTCCAAATAGATCTAAATAGATCTAGTTGGACCTATTATATACGCAATAAGTCTAAGTTAGATCTAATCAGATATAAAAATAGATCTGATCAGATATAATTTGACCTAAATTGATGTGATCATTTTTTCCCGGGATTATAATTCTTGTTTGATATCACTTTTCTGTTATTCTATTCACAATCGAGTTAATATTTTGCGGCAAATATTTTGCATACAATATCTCGCCAATCTATGCCAAAATAGCATAACACGTATGTACAGTAAAAATAAAAGTGTCTTTTTGATACTTATAGCTTCAATTTTTGTGGCGCGATTAAAATGTAACACTTTTCAATCTGGAATATCAACGATGTTAAAACTATGTTCTGGAATAGTTTGTGACAAGACCATAAGTCAAAAGGAGTTAATGATATTCATTACATATCGGCTGTTCTTCCAAAAACGTCCATGCTCCGATTTAGGTCAGAGTTTGTAAACAATAGGATTTGCATTTATCTAATAATAACCCGAGAAAAAAAGATTATATATAATTATATATTATATATTATATATAAATATATATGATTATATATATAATTATACAGGCGATTAAAATATATTTAAATATATATAATATGTCATATACAATTTGACATGATTTGAGTTTTTATAATCTATATATATATAAATGAATGTATGTATGTATGTATGTATGTATGTATGTATGTATGTCCTTTATGCACTCTTGAACTATTTGATCGAATTTTTACCAAAAGTATATAAAATAGGGGTAGAATTTTCCGGGGAGTGTTATAGAATGTATAATTTTTCGTTACCGATTTTTTTGGGAACCGGTATTCGACATTTTTTCATTTTTTCGGGAAATAATTGACCGAATTTCAAAGAAATATATATGAAACAGGAGTAGAATTTCCCGGGGAGTGACACAATGTGTATAGTTTTTTGTTACCGATTTTCTGGAAACGGGTTTTTTTAATTCTTTTTAATTTTCGGGAAATAATTGACCGAATCTCAAAGAATTGTATATGAAACGGGGGTAGAATTTTCCGGAAGTGCTATAAAGTATATAATTTTTTGTTACCAATTTTTTTGGAAGCCGGTATCAGAAATTTTTTAAATTTTTTGGGATTTAATTGACCGAATTGCAAAAAATTATATATGAAGTAGAGATAGAATTTCCCGGGGAGTGCTATAAACTGTATAGTTTTTCGTTACCGATTTTTTTGCGAATCGGTATCTTTTTGGAAATTGGTTACGCAATTTTCAAGAACGGGAGAGAGAGGGAGGGAGAGAGGAAGAGAGGGAGAGGGAGAGAGAGAGAGAGAGAGAGAGAGAGAGAGAGAGAGAGAGAGAGAGAGACTATTTGTGTGTTTTAATGCACATGTTCTCCGGGGCGAAGCCCGGCGGGGCATGCTAGTTTATATATAAATTATATATAAAAAACATTTATCCACATGGATTATATATATAGTTATATATAACCATCAATATAACCATATATAAACACAACACATGTGCATTATATATATTACACTTTTAAATTCGGATTATTCGATAGATGGCATCCGATAGGATTCGTTTCTCGTATTTAAATTTGACGAACAGTGGTATAAAATCGGTATGAAGAGACACGGCAGTGTCTCACGTCTCACGCCAAGCAGCGTCAAGTTATAATATATGGAATAAATCATTTCACTTTTGATTCTATAGCTTTTGAAAAAATATATATGAATAGAATGAGTGTGATAAAGGAATGGTGAAAAGAGTAACTTTTGCTCAGATAAAATTACTTACATCTTGGAGTAGGGCAGTTCGTCATGTCTTATCTTGACAAATTACAACATCAACTGTAAAAACAAAGTTTATCTTAAAAATACGTATTATACACATTTTATTTAAACAATGAAGGACAACAGCGACGAGCTCGACTGAGGACCATCACTCGTGATCAGTATCCCAAATCGGCGCAGCCGGTTCGTTAAATTAAGAATTGACTGACTCATACTTGGGATCAACAATCGAAATTTGTTCGTGCGATCACTTTATCAATACTAAATTGACAATCAATCTATAATGACATGGAGCCATTATTGTGGAAAGCGCTTCGCGGAAAGAAAAACTTCATTCGATCTTACCCTAATAGTTTTCGACACGTCGTTGACACCATCTGCTGTTAGAGGATGCAGCGTCCCGCGGGAACAGAGTACAATCCGTACAAGAGCGGATCAAGCCACTACCGGTTATCTTCGTTGATTTTACGACACTGTCAGTCAGACAGATACTGGCTTCTACAATGACGGCACGCGGCTGCCAAAGGAAGACGCGTCTTAAAGGTGGAATCGTGGGAAGCGCTCGTTCTTGCTCGCGAGAATCAAGACGATGAAAAGAGCAGAAAAGCGAAGACTATAAGAAACTGATAACCTGCACGATATTGCCTTCCGCATGATGGGTATTCCCCTGTTTATATTTGAACGATAACATCTGATAGGATTCCCGTGCTGATAGGTACGTGCCCTTTGAAACCGAATTTCTGATAACGAGACAAATACTCACATAGCAAAATATATCACCAAGATATCTGGAAGATATCTAAATAATAGAATATCTGATTGTGCAACACTTGTCGAGGTATCATGAGAATATCTGAGAGACATAAATCTGCAAGATTATAAAAAGCCATAATAACTTTATCCCAGATATGATATCTGATTCTGCATATACATATTTCGGATATCTATGCCTTATTTAAAAACAGATATATTATATACATACAACTCAAATAGCAAGAAGAAAGAATTTTTTTTAAATTGTCGATTTATGAAATTAATTTTTTTTTGTATTTATTCTGTTATAAAATAATTCTTAAAAATTCAAAAAAAATTTATTTTTATGTCACTAATTCTGAGTTTTTCTTCAGATATAAAAGAAGTTTTTTTCACAAGAATTTGCAATAAATTCAAAATTATGCTTCGATACTATTTCAATATTTTGAATTTTGCCATTTCTGCACTGTATGATATCTCGGAGATATCGCGAAAAATATTACAGCCAAGTATCTCACAGGTTCGCCTCTTATCCTAATATGTAAGGATTCTTGCTTACAAGAAGGTACCTGGGTAGCGATCATGTAACTTTTTCCCTAGAGCGGAAACGTGAAAAGTGAAAAATTTCATGTAACTATTTCTTTCTATTGGTATTGAATAGAAAGAGATAAACTTTTCACTTTTCACGTTCCGTCCTAGGGGAAAAGATACATGATCGATCCCCTGGCGCATGTAGCTGCGTCACGGCAGCGCATATGTTACTAGCGCTCGCCCGAGCAAAAATTTTCTAAGTTTCCTCGCGGCGTGTGGCTTTCCCCGGAACGAATCAGTACGGCGTTCTCTCGGACTTAAGCTGGCCACACACACTTTCCGTAGAACGTAACAGTAAGATTTCGACCAATCGCGTTACTCGATTCGGGAACGTACGGCCGAATCGAGTAACACGATTGGTCGAAATTCTACTATTACTGTTACGAAAAAGTGTGTGTCCGGGGCCTCATTGCCCGAAGCGACGACCGCGATTTCCCTCGCCGAGCGCCCTGCAGTCTCGCCGGAAAATCTAGTCGACCACGTGACTCTCGGCAGACACAACAGTATCATTCACGTGGTCCTACTCTCTCTTATCCTGATGATTACCGTCGAGCGCTTACTGTTCTTGTTGCACCAATGCCACCATATGCGCTACGCGAAAAATTCACCTTCTTTACATTGGAAACATCTTAAAATGCGATACGCCGTATGCAGCAGAATATGCTCGCCAAGAAATAGCGGTAGAGTCTTTAGATATCTATATTCGTAAAGTCGCTACGAGATTTTTTTACCATTAGACTATAACAGTCTGTGATTTTTAATTCTTGATCTCTTCTTTCTCTCATATCAGATAAGGGAAAGATTTATACTAGCAAAAACTGAACGTCGCAATATCATATCTTCGCCATTCAAAATAATTTACTGCGCAATAAGTTGCGTTCAATCTGGCTGATCAATCATATATATCTCTCGCTTATCTAAACACAGCGGCTTATATAATTAGTGACGGCTTAATGGCGTAACTCTTATAATCAGTTAAAATTATTGACATTTTCCGATCGTAGCAAATATAACAGTTCGTCATGCCTTAGCTTGACAAATTACAATTACATCAACTGTAAAAACGAAGTTTATCATGAAAGTACATATTTTAACGTACATTTTATTTAAAAATCGAGAACTCGTAGGTAAAATAAAGGACAAGCTCAATCGAGAAACATCACTCGTGATCTGTATTTCAAATTAGAGCAGCCAGTCGGCAACAATCCGCATTATCCGTTAAATTAAGGATTGACTGACTCATACTTATTGTTACCTCGCACAATTCATCGTTTGCGCTGGCGACGATCACTTTGCCGACAATAAATTCACCATCGATCTATGACGACATGCTGTTATGGTGGAAAATGCTTCGCGAAAAGAAAAACTTTATTTGATCTAGTCCTAACAGTTTTCGACACGTCATTGACATCACCTGCAATTGGGGGATGCACCGTTCTGCGTGCACAAAATACAATCTGAACAAGAGCAGACTCCGACCAAGCCGCTATCGTTTATCTTCGTTGATTTTATGGCATTCGAACAGTCAATTAGATAGATACTGGACTTCAGCGATAAGGCCACGCGACTGCCGAAAAACGATGCACCTTGTAGGTGAAAAGCGCTCATTCTCATTTGCGAGAAGCATCGCGAGAAACAGAATAGTTGAGACCGGAAACATGAATAGCGTGCACAATATTCCCTTTCGTACAATAGGTATTCCCCTATTTAATTTGAATAATAACGCCTCGGATTTCTGGGCTGATACGTGAATAGCACCACGGTCATCAATGTCGCGCACCCAATCTATCTCTCTAAATCTGAAACAGTAAATAGTCAAGATATCAGTGTAAAGTATGCCACCGATTCGAATCAGTGGCATACTTTACACTGATGTCAGTGACTATTCACTGATTCAGATTTAGAGAGTATGTACGTCACTGCTGCGTATTAAAATAGTTATCCGTATAAATATAAATCCGAGATTATGTTGTATAGATGTATATATATTTCGAAAGTACTCGTTTTCGAAAAGAATGGATTTTACGATTGCAAGCCAATTGTAGGCACTCACTAACAATCGAATTGCCGATGGAATCAAAGCACGAGTAATATGGCGACATTATCTCCGTTCAACCCGACAAGACAAACTGCTGTAGCGTTATCTTGTTAAACGTATTCAGAAATCTGTTGCCCCATTTTTCGCCTCTTTCTTTCAATCGCAACTGTTAACGACATAGCTGCGGCATGTAAGTAGGTACCCACACAGAGCATAACATCCAACAGATATTTAATGGATATCTAGATATCCAATGGATATCCACTGGATATCTAGTTATCAATAAAATATCTGTTGGATGTTATGCTCTGTGTGAATATGTGCGATGACGTACGTATATAGTCTTACATGATTTTTAGTCTTTTCCGTGAAGCCGAATGGTCTTATATCTTCATTTTAATGGCTAATGATAGATTTGTAACACCAGTACGGCATATAAAAACTTCTATATTATTTCTATTATATAATTTTTTGCAATTTAAGACAAAAGATTAGTGTTTCGCACTAATTATATCACGATTATTTGTCTCCCATTAAAGGTAGTGTATTTTAAAAAAATTTTGGAGCTAAGAGTTTTGTAGAGAAAATTTTTCTACATAGAACCAAACTTATGATGCAATTATATCTATAATCATATGTCTTAAAACTAAATTTAAAAAGACAATATGTTTTAAAAGACAATTTTTTATATCTTTGAAAAAATTTAGTAGCTTAAACAGATAATATATCAGATTTTTTTTTATACAATAAGATTACATTAATTAAAACGAATTGAACATGTTAAGATGTCAATATGTGTTTTACTTTAATATAATATTTTATTTAATGACAATATTATTTAAATTATAATTTACATTTATTACGTAATCATTTGATTGGTTTTGACATTCCGCAATCGGAATGTCTTCCTTTATGCTATTGCATTTGTTAGATAGAAACTTTAATATTAAAATCGATAATATCAGCATCGATTTCAAATGCTTTGTTGTATTAGATTAATTATATATAGGAAATAATTATATATGTATAAAGACATGACCAAAAATATAATATAACCATCAGAAAATATAAATCGAAATGGTAGAGGTAAGTTTTCTTTTCGGAAAAATTAATTTTAGAAACTGGAAAAAATATTTTTCAAACATAAATAAATAATATGTTTGTTTTATTTGTTTATAAGATAGTTATTTATGTACGGAGTGCAAAAGGCTTACGGTGTTTTCGGCTTAAAAGCTATTGAGCAGAGATTGAGACATAGTTGCATTTTGATATCGTATGTATATTTTACATATTTGTAATAACGGTTAAAAGTACATTTGTGCATGCTTCATATACATTATTAAAAATTACATATGTATGTGAGTATACAAGTGTAATAAAGATTTACCTTCCGCGATAACTCCTGAGAATTGAATCGCGAAAGCGATTGGAGCAGATAAAATCGTTTCTCGGGATATATATCTCGATAGTAGTTATATTGATACAGGTCGAAGCTAATTACATAATTAATTGCGTAATTACCAATTTCATTACAAGATTCGACCAGTGCAATGTGTTTTGTATCTTCAACACTCAATATTTTTTTATATATGATATTTTCTTCTTTTATTCACTAATTATAGCTTGTTCTAATTAAATTGATTAATATCACAAAATCTGCAGAGACTGCTTTTTTGTCATTTTATTGTATTTGGGTGTAAAAAGATTTTTACATTAGAACGGGAATAATAGACCCGCGATATTTTCAGTTAACTGTTATCTGATGTACATGTTGTAATTATATCTAACTAACATAGAGAGATAACAACCGCAGATTTAAAGAAAAAAAGATGTGAATATTTTCAGACATTGTATTTCATTCACAAGTTAAGGCTCCTGTTCACTCACTGCAGCCATCTTGGATTAATAACATCAGAAACGAGAAAAATATCATGAAAATTCTCGCGACGGACATTAAAGTAAAAATGTTTTTCAATAAGATAGCGTTTGTAATCGATAGAACAGACTTGTAAGATATATCGAAAATCCTCTTTAAGGTCTAGGCTGGGATGACCAATGGGGCCACTTTTTAATTTCATTATATAAGGCATCTCCAGGACTCTTAGTCTTCACAGCTTGTCGGTGACCTAACAATTTATAGTCAGGCGCAATTTTTCCGGCTCCTCTGCCTAACTCTATGAGCTTTTGCGCGGCATTTAATTGCGTTTTCGGCGGTACAACCGAAGTGAAATTACCGATAAACGCAATACCGATACTTTTGCCGTTATATTCTCCTGAATGGCCACCAACGTAATTCCAGTTTCTGCCAACATATGCGAGGCCGTCGCCTCCGACCATGAAATTGTAGGCGATATCCGCATAATCATTTTTCATCTGATTATTCTGGATAATTCTCAATTCGTTTGCGCACTCTGATTGCGTGGTACAGAATGCTGTCGCAGTGTGACAAATAATTACATGTGGTACTGGCAGTTTCATTTTTCTTAGGGGATCCGAAGGTGGCCGTGCACCCCATTCGTCCCTCTCGACAATGCGAAACTCTGTCCCGTTATCATCTGCAAGTCATGAAAATAAAATACATATCGTACAAAAAGTTCAAAATATACCATACAGATAAATTAATTAAATAATCTTTAATTTAATACCGAATGTTGCAATTTTAATCAGATGCATACGTTAATTTTAGTATTAAAATCTAGAACATTACTGTAAAGATTTTTTAATCAGTCCTACTGTATCATTTTTAATTGTCATGTGTCATTACAATACAACCACTACTTACATTAATTATCAAGACGTTTCAACCATGAGTTTTGGGCCTTCTAAATTAATTTAATTTAGATCCTTACTTATAAATATACATTTAATTTATTGCAAAAAGTACTACCTGAGTCAGGTTAGACAAACCCCATGATTGAAACGTCTTGACAACTAATTGATCAAAACTAATGGTCGTATTGTCATGACAATTAAAATTGATAGTCAGTATAGGGTCGATTAAAGTCTTTACTGTTATTTGTTCACTGACGAAGTAAATGTTATTATTCGGCTAGAATATTACTCTTATACATATACATATATGACAATGCAAAGTGTTTTGCAATACCTATATAATATATGGACTCATGGAAAATAAGAAAAGACACATTTTTAAGTAGATGAATAAATGGATTATATACAAATACAGAATTTAAATTTGCAATCGCGATAAGATAACATTTGCTTTGTATCGCGCTTGCAAAACGAAAAATTTGGACAATTACTCTCGATCGATGAGTCTGACATTTCCGAAGGAACTGGTGCGTCCTGATGATGAATGCAATATTCATCATTTATGGGCACTACAGCAGGTAGAAGTATTGAAACTAGAACGCACGATAAAGCCACATGTTTCCAGAGCCATTGCGGTCGAGACGTCACTAGAATAATTATAAATTGTTCTATTAGAATGATTTGTTACGAGCTACTTAATATTGTTTGATGAAGTGCACGATTATTACGTCAGGAAGCGGGTGTGTATGCAGGAATATTATAATAATTACATATTAAAGCCGCTTGCGTAATGCATTATAATTCTTGTTTAATATTTTTTTGTTATTCTGCTCACAATCAAACAATTAAACATTGGTGGCATACAATATATATCTCGCCAATATGTGCCAGAATAGCATAATACGTATGTACTGTGAAATAAAAATGTCTTTTTTATACTTATAGCTTCTTGTGACTAAAGTGTAACAATTTTTAATCTGGAATATCAACGATGTTAAATCTATATTCTGGAATAGCGGAATGGTCTTGTGACAAGACCATAAGTCAAAGGAGTTAATGATATTCATCACATATTGGCTGTTCTTCCAAAAACGTCCATGCTCCGATTTAGGTCTAAGTTGTAAACAATGGGATTTGCATTTATCCAATAATAATAGAATGCATGTGATAAAAGAATGGCGAAAAGAATAACTTTTGCTCAGGTAAAATTACTTACATCTTGGAGCAGAGCAGTTCGTCATGTCTTATCTTGACAAATTACAACATCAACTGTAAAAACGAAGTTTATCTTGAGAAAATACGTATCTTACACATTTCCATATCTATTTTGACAGTTGTGTGTATCAAGGAGTTAATAATGTAGAAGTAATAGCATAATGTTAAAGCTAAATAGCGCGCGCGAAGCGCGCGTCTGTGGTGTCTAGTTATTTAAAAAATGGAGGACAACAGGGGCAAGCTCGATCGAGAAACATCACCCGTGATCAGTATCCCAAATCGGCGCAACCGGTTCGTTAAGGCTCCTGGTCCCTGAGCCGAGAACTCTGCGTTGTCGGTGGCGCCGTACCGTCGCGGCAGAAATAAGAACTCTCTCCTCTCACTCTCTCCAATGGAGAATTCTGTCTTGTGACATGTTGACAACCTTATTTTAAGTTGCGGTATATTTCTTTATTATTCGCTCTGTACTTGTGCTCTAATGTTTAACGTATTCGTGAAACTCGTAAAATTGACCGTATGGTAAGATTTGCAAGAAATATATATGCGGAAGGAACATTCACCACTCCTTTCGATAGTCGTCAAACGGCTTGTTTTCCGTATGTTTAGGCTTCGTTTTATGGCTGTTTGTTTATTGTCGAGGGAAAAGGATAGTATCCGGTCAATTTTTGAAGTGTGTTGAAACGATCTGTCGTGATTTTTTATTGAAATGTCTTTTTATTTCGGAAAATACCGCAACTTAAAATTAGGTGTTTTCCTCGCCTCGATAGTAAGAATCCAATATGGCCGCGGTGACTACCCAGGAGCCTTAAATTAAGGGTTGACTGACTCATACTTGGGATCAACAATCGACATTTGTTCGTGCGATCACTTTACCAATACTAAATTGAGAATCAATTTATAATAACATGGAGCCATTATCGTGGAAAGTGCTTCGCGGAAAGAAAAACTTTATTAGATCTTACCCTATATAGTTTTCGACACGTCGTTGACACTACCTGCTGTTAGAGCAGCGCCAGCGTCCCGCGGGAACAGAGTACAATCCAAACAAGAGCGAATCAAGCTACTACCGGTTATCTTCGTTGATTTTATGACACTGTCAGACAAATACTGGCTTCAGCAATGACGGCACGCGGCTGCCGAAGAAAGACGTGCCTTAAAGGTGAAATCGTGGAAAGCGCTTGTTCTTGCTCATGAAAAGCGAAACAATGAAAAGAGCAAAAAAGGGAAAAGATTATGAGGAACTGATAGCCTGCACGATATTGCTTTTCGCATAATAGGTATTCCCCTGTTTTAATGATAACACCTGATGGGATTCCCGTGCTGCTAAGTACGTGCCCTCTCAAATCGAATTTCTGATAACGAGACAAATAATAATACTCTTGACATGTTTAATCTAATCACAATCGGAAGCAGTATAACAAAATAAAACAATATTAAGATTAAATCCATAATTCCTATTTTCTTTTTTCGAATAAAATGAGATTTACTTAATATCTTGAGACTAGAGTAAAGAAGCCCATTCACGATCAATCATGTTGCTCAAAAAGTAGTTGCGCAGAATAATGTTGCACGAAGTAAAATTCCACACACGCTGACATTTTACTGCGCAAAATTTAGTTGCGTACACAGTTCTTGGTGCTCGCTTCGTTGTAGTAGTGGTTGTCGCTTTGTTTATAATAATATAATTCTAAAATGACTACTGAAGCCGTTATATGTACCTGTTTCTGAACGTATATACATACACTTTGTCAATCAGGTTACAACTAGAAAATTTGTGCAATACTACCACTCACAAAACAAATGAGTCGCGCAACAGGCGTGTTTCGCAAAAAATCTCAGGAAGGTTTTGATCTTACACAACAGTTGCGCAAATCGTCAATCAGTCTCATTCACGATCAATGATCTTGCACAACGGACAATATTGCACAATATGATTGATCGGGAATGGGCCTCTTAAGGTATATAAATTCAAGCTTATTATATTCTGTTTATTATATTATATTATATTTGTTTATTATATTCTGTTTATTATATTCTGCTTATTATATTCTGTTTATACTGTTATAAGGCTGGCGTTCCGATATTTATTAGGTGTTTACTATTTACTGACACAAGTCGACATAAGTCTCGCTCTTTGATACTCATTGAATGTCAAGAAAGGTAACACGACATTTGTGTCGATTTGTGTCACTAAATGGAAAGCATCAATTGTCAGCAACTGTCAGTACTGAAAATCTATAGTATACGTGACGTAAATATAATTATAGATATAAAAATATAGATTTTTAGTACTGACAGTGAATATCGGAATGCAGCCTAAATCTTCACGCAATGTTATAACGCGCGATGTTAATACCACAATATTTAGCGCGAAACCGATGTGTGTTATTGTCTTGTCGACACTAAGAACGTGATACACTATTGACCGAAAACGAAACGTAAGTGTTAATTACATCTACGTCGTAGTCGTGTCGTGGACATAAAGTAAGACAGAGTAAAATATTGTAAAATAGCTTTATATTACGTTTTTCTTGGTCTTATTTAGTGTCTACTCTACGACAGGCATCTCGTTCTCTGATGTCATTAGCCATACGCGAGTAACGTGTTTGTGCCTGTGATGGATTTGATTATTGTCTGGGTGATGTTCCAAAACTCACTCTGAGTAACTAAAATCTATAGTTTACCTCACGTACACTATATCATTTTAGTTAACTAGAGTGAGTTTTGAAACATGACCCTGTGGTGGATTTGATCTATTATGAATAAAACGTGTTACTAAATAATATCTGTGTTTTCGCTCATAAAAACCTTTATTTCTTTTATTACAAAAAGGATCTTGAAAGAGTAATATAAAATTCCTGACACAATCTACAAATTTCTTTTGGCAAGAGTAGAATATGATTTCCTTTAGATCCGTCTATTGTTGAATCGAGAATATTAGGAGATTGTCACAAATTGCTAATCTAAATCTTTCTGAGAAAATTAGAGGGATGGCGTCAAAATTACTTTATTTTAGATTTAAGAATTTTATATATTTAACATTAAAATATTCTTTCTAACACTAAATATGATTGTCGCTATATCGACCCTATTTTATGATAGATTGAAGAGTAATAGCATATTGTATCCAGAAATCTTCTGTGGGTGTGAATGGCACCGCGGTCATCATGTCACACTCAATCTATGTCACTGCTGCGGATCACGCTAAGTATTAAAGCGAAGACACCGTAAATATAATGCGATCCGAGAATATGTATGTATACATATATCATACCCCGAGAAAAATACTATCACAACTCAAAAAAATACACAATTTTTAAAAGAGAGAAGTAACGAATTTAATTCAATTTTTTTTAATTGCGAGATAACCAACATAATATACTTATACAATTACGATATTTTGTTATAATGAAACTTATACTGTCTTTTGAAGAGATCTGCTGTGATTTACTTGTCAGTTCACTTATGACATTATTTATCTAGGAAACCGCAATGTATGTAATGGATTTCAAAAAAATAACTTCTACCTCGGTCAGTGGATTTCGCATATAAACTTGTGACACTATTATGACACGTAGACAATATTTTAGACATACTCTTTATGGGCTTAACTCGAAATCGGAATTTCTTTAAATTGTAACAGTAGATATTCTTCTCGCAGAGTATACAGTACAATCTCGTTAATTCGGCACTATTAAAAATGAGGTTGTGCCGGATTAATGAATTTAGCTGCCTTATTGGAATATAAGGAATAGAAGATGAGCACTTTAAAACTTCTAAATTTACAACAAACAAAATGAAACTAGAAAGCAGCCATGTATTTTCACGGAAACATGTAAACAATGCTGCATCAGCGACAGTTTAACGGTCACTAATAATTAATAGATTAACAATATACGCAAGCGTTAAATCCGTCCTCTGTCTCTTGTTTAAGAAGTCACGGAAGTCCGTGATAGTGCCGGATTGTTGGACGTACAAGATTATTTATCGAAGTGCCGGATTAGCGAGATTATACTGTATATATTTCGCAAGTGTCCGATGCTTGTTTTTATAGAAAAAAAAAATAGATTTTACGGTTGTAAGCCGCTTGTCAAGCACTCACTGATAAACAAACTGCCGATGGATTCAAAGCATGCACACGTAATGCCGACACATTATCTCCGTTTAATCCGACACTGGAACAGACTGCTGTCGTGTTGTCTTGTCGAACGTGCTTGGAAATTGTTGGCACCACTCTTTGCCTCTTTACCTAAAAACAATTGTAGCTGCGGCATGCATGTATATGTCGCATTATACGATTTTTAGTCTTTTCGGTTTAGTTACCGGAGCCGAATCGACTTGTATCTTCATTTCGATGGCCGAACATTTCTAACACCACTAACATACCTACACGAAACATTTATATAATTTCTATTATATAATGTTTTGCAATTTAAGGCAAATAATTAGTGTTTCGCACTAATTATATTTGCCTCGAATTAAGAAGTAGGGTATTAAAAAAAAATTCCAAGCTCTCGTTGAGGAGGTCTTTCTATATAGAAACAAACTTATATTTAATTATATGCATAATTATATATCTTAAAACCAAATTTTAAAAGATATTGATGTTTCAAGAAACAATTTTTTATATCTTTAAAAAAAAATCTAGTAGAACAAACAGATAATACATGTACACCAGATTCCACTGGATACAATGACATTACATGAATTGAAAAAAATTTAACATGCTTAGGTATCAATATGTGTTTTATTTCGATATAATATTTCATTTAATAATAGTATTATTTAAATAAACATAAAATATTATATTCGATAATAATATCGAGTACTGTTCTTACACGATCAATATTCGACATAATTATAATAAATTGATAATAAATTAAAGCATGTGATTAAAAATTTTCTAACAATGGATTTGCAATACTAATAAAGCTATATGTGTATAAGGTACATGCGCGAATACATCACACACATACGTAAGATGATTCCTCAGTTAGAATGTCTTTATGCTATTGCATTTGTCAGATAGAAACTTTAATGTCACAACCGATGATATCAGCGTCGAATTCAAATACGTTGTTGTAACAACTTAATTATAAAAAAATACATGTATAAAAATTTGACCAAAAATATACTATTATTAAATAATGCATAATATAACCAGAAATTAAATCGAAAGCGTAAGAGTACGTTTTCCTTTCGGGAAAATTGAATATAGAAACTGGAAAAATATGTTTAAAACATAAATAAATAACAGAATAATGAATTTTTTTTCGCCAGTGATAGAATAACAAATAAGTAATTTAAATCGATTTTGACTGGCAATATATAACATCCCTTCGATGTGACCATTGAAAAAACTATAAATAAATAATATGTTGGTTTTATTTACATATAAGAGTTATTTATGTACGGAATGCAAAAAACTTATCGTGATTTCGTTTTGGAAGCTATTGAACCGAGATTAAAACTTATTTGCATTTTGATATCGTACGTATATTTAACACATATATATATATATATATATATATATGTGTGTGTGTAATGATGGTTAAAGATATGCTATTCAGGGAAGACCGGAACGAAGTCGTCACTATTTTTTCGGTATCGATTTTTAACAACAAAACGAATAATTTTAATAAAATGTGGTACACCGTTGTAAAGAGTGAACCCTTGGCTACAAAATTTATAAGGACATTTTTGGTCCACGTCGCTTTGTTCAACTGGTATAGAGTGAAAACGACAAAGATGCAAAAATTGAAATGTTAAAATTGCCGGGGCGGAGTCGCACTTTCATTCTCGGCCTGAATTTTAAATGAAAATTCATAATTCCGATCTTGAAAAATGATAGGATACATTTTATTAATTATTTTTTAATAGAAAAATGGAAACATTAATTAAAAACACGATGGCGAAAAATAATTACAAGAAAATCGCACACACTTATGTGCGCCTGCACGAAATGCACCGTTTCTCGTCAGCTCTATTCTGTCATTTCTGAGCACACGCAGCACATATTATCCAAGTCCTCGCCGGAATCCGATCACTGCTGCTTCTTTGACTTTGATTTTCGCCAAAAGCCTCCATGATATGACTTGGTGACGACTTCGCCCGGGACACAAGTTTCAAGTTTGCTCATAAAATATTAAAAATCAACAAAAATAAAAAAATTTTACTGGATTCGTGTTCAGCATGCATTACTCTTCAGAATCACTTATCTCGAGATTCGGAGAGAAAATATAATATTTAAAATATTTAAAATTTTTGACGCGCAAAAATTTTATTTTTGATTTAATTTTACTCCGAAAACACGTTTACTTTAATGAAAATCACAACATGGCATATAATCTCACTAAACTCCGTTGGTCATATGAGCACCATAAGCAGCGTTTACAATATTAATGGCGAGTTCACACAATATACAGATTTCGAGATAATTGTAGTAACGACCCGCCCCGGTCTCTCTTACTTTGTTAAAAATTAGGGGAGACCAGGGACAAAAGTAACGCGGAATAAACGTAACAAACGCGATTACTAAAAAAATAATATTTCTGTACGAATCTATCTGCTGTTATATAATGTCTTTTAAACTCCTTCCTCACCTTAGTAGCGCTCGAAGCTCTGTCATGAGAAGTTGTGTGTCGATGCCGTAAGAATACGGTCAAAGTAAAGTAGAGGTTTAGCAACGTTTGTTTAGAATAATTAAAAATATTTAGAACTATTTAAAAAAAGTCTTTTAAGAACTAAAACATTACGCTACATTGATTATATGTTTATTTCTTTTATTTTACCTTGTTAAACTCGATCTTCAGCTCTGTTACAACCAGCCCTAGGAGTAGGGACAATTGTAACAAATTTCGATCTTTGTAAAATTTGATTTTTCTACGTAATTATAAAATGTGGATAAATTTTATCTATACTATAATGTAAGTAAAGAATGTATTTTTACCTTATGAAAGAGAAAAAGTTTATATATAAACAAGCAAATCGAAGATATCAACACAAATGAGAAAATTGTTACGTTTGTCCCTGGTTTCTCCTATTACATATATGTATGTAAGTATACAAATATAATCGAGAGAAGCGATTAAAGCACAAGTGAAGTCATTTCTCGGAATATATATCTCGATAGTAGTTATATTGATACAGGGCGAAGCTAATTACATAATTGCATAATTATCAATTTTATTATGAGGTTCGACCAGAACCATGTCTTTTGTATCTTCAACACTCAATACTTTTTATACATGAACTTTTCTTCTTTTATTTACTAATATTAATACCACAAAATCTGTAGGAATTGCTTTTTTGTCATTTTATTGTATTCTAGTGTAAAAAAAATGTTACACTCGAAACGAGAATAATAGACCCGCGATATTTTCAGTTAACTGTTATCTGTACATGTTGCAATTACATCTAACTGACATAGACAGATTTGACAAGTCTATCTAACCAGTAGGGCTCGGATGACCAATGAGGCCATTTTATAATTTCATTATATAAGGCATTTCCAGGATTCTTAGTCGTCACAACTTGTCGCGCACCTAACAGTTTATAGTCAGGCGCAATTTTTTCGGCTCTGACGCCGAACTTTATGAGCTCTTTCGCGGCATTTAATTGCGTTTTCGGCGGTACAACCGAAGTGAAATCACCGATGAATGCAATACCAATACTTATGCCGTTATAGTGTCTTGAATAGCCACCGACGTAATTCCAGTTTCTACCAACATATGCGAGGCCGTCGCCTCCGACCATGAAATTGTAAGCGATATCGTCAAAAATACCTTCCATCTGATTATTCTGGATAATTCTCAATTGGTTTGCACACTTTGATTGCGTGGTACAGAATGCTGTCGCAGTGTGAAAAATAATTACATATGATACTGGCAGCATCATTTTTCTTAAAGGTCTCGAAGGCTGTGCACCCCATTCGTCCCGCTCGACAATGCGAAACTCTGTTTCGTTATTACCTGCAAGTCATGAAAATAAAATACATATCATACAAAAAGTTCAAGATATACCATGCAGACAAATTTATAGTTAGAAACTTCTTAATTTAACACCAAATTTAGCAATCTCAATCAGACACATATATGTCAACTTTAACATTAAAATCTAAAATATTACTCTCCATATATAAAAATGTAAAAAGTTTTAAAATATATGACTCGTGGAAAGTAAAAAAAGACATGCTTTTAAGTAGACGAATAAATGGAATAAATACATATATATAATGTAGGAGACAGATTTTAAGTTTGCAATCGTGATAGATACCATTTGCCTCGTGTCGCGCTTGCATAACAAAATATTTTCTAGATGGACAATTATCCTCGGTAGATGAGTTTGGAATTTCTGGTGTGGTTGGTGTGGATGGTGTTGTTGGTGTGGTCGGTTTAAACGGTGTAGTCGGTTCGGGCGGTGCGGGAGATATGTCGGATTGATGAGTGAAATGTACAGTTATAAACACTATAATACCCAGAAGTATTAAAGCTAGAACGCACGATAAACCTATATACCATTTCCACGTCCACAGCATTTGCGTCACTAAAATAATTATAAAAAGCTATATTAGAACGATAGTTTTACGAGCTACTTAATATCGTTTGATGAAATTTATTCGCAATTATTATAACGGGTAACACGTACGAAAGGAATATTTTCCAGATAGACAATTACCCTCGATTGATGAGGTTGGAATTTCTGGGAAGACCGATGCGTCTGATTGATGAGTGAAATATACAGTTATGGGCACTACAATAGCTAGAAGTATTAAAGTTATAACGCACGATAAAACCGCACGTTTCTACGTCCAGAGCCATTGTGTCGCTAGAATAATTATAAGAAGCTGTATTAGAATGTTTGTTTAACGAGTTATTAATTCACTACTTATTAATACTGTTTGATGAAATTCATACATAATTATTATGACGGGTAGCACGTGTGTACGAAAGGAGTATTATATACACTGTAAAAAAATTGTGTAAAATTACAACTATTATAGTGGATAATTTTAAGACCGACTATAATAGTTGTAATTATACAAGATAATGGTTGTAATTTTACAAAATTACAGTACGGAAGGAAAAAGTAATTTTGTATTACAATTACACAAATTAAAAATGTGTAGAAATTTACACCTATTATAGCGGGTCTCAAAATTACCTGTAATTTTACAAAATTTTTGTACAGTGTAATTACATTAAGTCCCTCACGTAAAGCATTATAATTCTAATTGTTTGGTACCATTTTTCAGTTATTCTATTCACAATCGAGTAAACAATTTGCGGCATGCGATATCTCGCCAATCTATGTCAGATAGCGTGACACATATATATACTGTGATAAAAATAGCTTTTTTATATTTAGCTTTAATTCTTGTGGCGCAACTAAAGTGTAACAATTTTTAATCTAAAATATCGTAGATATTAAAACTATATTCTAGAATAGTTGTGACAGGACCATTAGTCTAAGTAGTTAATGATATTTGTGACATATCGGCTGTTCTTCCGAAAACGTTCATGCTCTGGTTTAGATCAAAGTTTGTAAATAGTTTTTTTTAGATAAAAAGGCATATATTAAAAGGTATTTTTTGCGACTCAAATAAAGTTTTTGACATCGACTATTTATTAGTTTATCGGCATTAGATTGGCGTCAAATCGATTAATCATTTATGGCTGAATATGTACGCAATACAAAGTGTTGAAATGTAAAACGTAGAGAAAATAATTTGATTCTATGATGTCTCTGAATTTACCAAGTAATTATTGCGTTCTACTAATGTATTTAAAATTTTTAGGGTATATTTTCTTTTATAAGGAAAGATTAGAGTAATGTATTGTTGCGATGATATCGATAAAAA